CAGGCTGACCTAACACAGAACGAGATATTGCCAGTATCCCCAACCTTTAGCCCAATTGAAGCCATGCTCTATTATCCTTCATTAAAATTCATTTGGATACGTATATTTTATATGCAGGCTTTTTCCTTTCCTAAGGACCACATCACTCATTTGGAGAGGCATTTGTCACTAAATGCAGGAATTACTTATAACTGGAGAGATTAATTACCCTCTCCATCTTAAGTAAAAAATTTTTTTACATATTTAGAAAATAGCACTAATTTGAGGAGTTAGTATATTGGGTGCATAAGAGAAGATACACTGTATCTTCTGCAGAAAGTGGCTAGAGATGCAGTGCCTTCAAGGGAAGGCCAGGTTTCCACAAATAAAAGAACATGGCAAGAGCATAAGATGAGATCAAAGAGGAAACAAAGTTTGTAGAAAGGAGTTTCCAAAGAAAATTCTAGCTCTTTTCCAACTAAGCTATTTCAACTATACGGGGCAGTAAGGTGGCATAAAATTGTAGAGCGAATTCTGGGCCTGGAGTTAGGACAACCTGAGTTCAAATATGGCCTTAGACGTGTACTAGTTGTGTAATCCTGGTCAAGTCACTTAGTTTCTGTCTACCTCAACTTTTTCATCTGTAAAATGGGAATAATAAGAGCATCTACCTCCCAGGGCAGCCAGAGAATCAAATGAGATGATATTTGTAAAGCGCTTTGCAAACCATAAAGTATTACATAAATATTAGAATAATTATTATTGTATATTCATGTGACATGGTGCAATTTTCCCTTGTATCCATCAGCGAAAGAATAACAGGATTTATCTAATGATAGTCAAACTATTTACATTATTTTGGGATCAGGCAATAAATGAGGATTCACTGACTCATGGACTTTGAAAGTTGAATGGAGCTCTATAGAAACTGATGTTCAGAAAAATTAAGGAATCTGCTCAGAATCACAGAAAATGGTAATACCAGAGCTAAGCCTGGAACTCAGGTTTCCCCAGCTCAATTCCAGAAGGTCTATATAAAAAGCCAAGTAAATTAACCATTATATTAATAAGGCAATTATGACTCAAGCAAATTAAATAAAATGATTTTAAAAAGGAAAGAGCATTTATTTTAATCATATAAATAATAACTCTAATGTTAAGCAGATAAAAATTCTCTTCTTATATTTCTTGAATTCCTCCTGGTTGTATTCCCTTCAACATATCTACTCTTGGGCTTATTTATGATCACCTAGATAGTTCAAAATATACCTGCAGATAAGGTCATTTTAATACACTGAAAAGATTACTGCAGACTTCACAAAACAAAAGCTTCTAAATAACGTAAATGTTCATTTACTGAAAATAGATAGTAAGTTTTGGCTTGAAAATAAACAGAAATATTGTTTGCAATTTGAAAAACAAAACAAAACTATGTCTTTGTTCCAAAAAACAATTTAAAGATTTAGAGGTTGTAAGGAAAGTCTGTCGTATTTATGTTCTTACGTAGTATGAAATTTGTCACTAAGAACAAATGAGCTACAGAAGCCAAAGAACAAAATATTGAAGTCCTAGAAGTAGACTTTTTGTTCCTTTGCATCATCAAACAAGTTTCAAAACATTCATTTATGCTGATTGAACTATTTTGAATGTAATTAACCTGTGAAATGATGGCTTTGGACTCAGAGAATTTTATTTAATGAAAAAAAGAAAGACACAAGAATCCAATAAAAGGCTGAAGAGGCAGCCATTTCTGTCAGATGTGGGTATTTAGCAATCCACTCTTATTTTCCACACTACTTTGAAAATGCTATATACAAAGAAGGCTCATGCTGCCAGGCATGCAATTTGTGTACTTTTAGAGGTATATAGAAAAAAAAGCTAAATATATTAAATTTCAGTGGATTTGGAAGCCACAGAATAGGTGCATGTAACTTTTATGACAAATAACTCTGTGTTATTACATATTCTATTAATGAGATAGATTGAATGAAACTAAAATTTGAATATGTATGACTATCAAAGAGCAGCTTTTTTGTACTGATTTTTTCCTAAAAAGGAGTAAGTAAAATTCTTTGAAAAAATACTTCTGATCTCATCACAGACTATCCAAATAAATATATTTGAACCTAAAAGTCAAAATATATTCTGATGAAATTATACTGCTGTTAAAAGAATTTATCTCCCTCTAAATTTCTATTATAACTCGTCCTAGTCATCCAAAAATAAATATTCCTCACATTTCAAGCAGCTGCTTCATTATAATTTCTAAACAAAAATAATTATTTTGTTGTGTTCACAAAAAGTAAGTAAGGTTAAATAAACCTTTTGAGTACAAAGATTTCACTTCTATAGTAAGTAGCACTAGTTAAAAGACTGGGGAATGGGTAAATTATTGCACCAAATGGCTGAGAATTAATCTCTGCTGACTAGCTGCAATCTAACGAGGCATCTGTGTCCCAGGGAACCCACAGTATGTCCCTGGCGGTATGTGTAGTGTGTAGAGACTGCATGGCATTCTTTGTCCTCTTCAGCAAGCAGCTTTTCGTCTCATTGTTTAGAATATCCTCATGCATCTGTGACGCGTGGAATGCATTCATACTAACAGACTTACTATTGTTTTCTCTCAGAAGCTTTGTTGAGCAAAGACTGCATCACGGTTCTTGATAATTATATTGCTTAATTAATCAAGACAAAAAAAATTTGCAAATCATTGCCCCGTTGCCAAGCAGGGAGATAAAAAATGAAAACAATACAAGCTGAAGCAATATAACAAAAGTAACAGCTATCTGATCAGAAATTCTTATATAATGAAGCTATTAATGCTAAATCGGTTAATGTTAACATTGCTCCAGGTGTCTCTACTTAGATGCAAACAAAAAGGCTAACATTATGTATATAAAAGGCCAAATGTTGCCATGGATTCTGTAACCTGATAGAGAGGACAGCCTTTTCATTTGATTAGGGAATGCAATTTAAATACCAGGGACTGAAGCCAAACAACAGACATTTCCCTTTGCAAGCCTCTTTCATTCACCCTGGGGTCAGTAGTTGGTGAACAAAAGGTCAGCCACACTTGCCCTGGAAATGTCTGGATTAATTTTATTACATTGTAATGGTTTGTATTTTAAATGTAAGGATAACACTAAATTTCCAGTTACCTATTATCCTATTTTGCCCTTTGGGCTTTTGAAATAAAGTATTAAGAAATCGGTTCTCTCAACTCATTTTGACACAATTTGTAACCAATTTTGCAAAACTGAAATTAATATTCACGTGAAAGTTTCATAACAGAATACATTTGATAATAGTATAAATCTCTGCTTTTTTTAACCTTTGAAGATGAAAAGTAGAGTACCCTAGAGTTTGTCCATAGAGAAATAAGAAAGTTATGGAAGAGTAAATGATCCTGTTAAAGTTTTCTTCTTAACATATGCATGAAGTTTACTAAAGTAACTACTGCAGGTGGACAGTTTCTAGTTCTGAAAAATGTCTTATGCTATTTGCTAATGATTTAATACTTAACTATTTTAAGAGTTAAAGTTTTCTAATAAATCTTTAGGATGAAAATGCTAATTTTATAAAGGAATAAGTATTGCTGATACTACAATCTTCATTTACAAAAGATACAACTTCATACATTTTGGTATCTAAACAGCTAAATCAAAGATAATACATATTTATTGTGAAGAAACTCCTGACTTCTCATTTGGTGAAAAATCTCTGTAGGAAATTTAGTGAAGAACTCTTTATAATACTGATTTTGAGAAACAGTATAAGTATCACTTTTCTAAATCACATTGTATCTGGAGTTTCCACATGTGGTAGTTAAGATGTTTCAGAGGATAGTATCACACACTTGAGAAGTCTTACATGTGATTTTTTTTTTTGTTTCTTTTAACCTAAAGGTAAAGTGTATTTTTCATAACTTTATTAAAAGCAAGTCTGTAAGTCCTAATTCAAAAAGTAAAACACTTTTGATTAATTAGCTAAACTTAAAAAAAAGAGGTTTTAAGGACAGTAACTCAATTTAGTTTGGAGATACTAGATTATGCACACCTTTTGAATAAAAATAGAGAACAAATTTAAAATTTGCTTAAATTTGGAATCATCCTACTTATGAGTTCCCTTGGCCATTCTATTCTATTCAATTTAACAAACATTTATTGACCACCCACTATTTACTAGGCACTGGGCTGAGTGCTGGGAAGAGAGATAAAACAAAAACAGTGCCTGCACTCAGGGAGCTTAGAACATTTTAACTATGAAACTGTTATACAAATCTGAAAATAGACTATTTTTACCCCCATGGATGATGATCTTAATTTTACTAAATAAAAGATTGTTATAAATAATATTAATGGTATTAATTTAGGTAGCCAAATTAGTCCATAGAACTTCTCATAGGATGGGTCTTGTAATTTTTAGGAAAAGTGTTAATTGGTTAAGCTGATTTTGTGGCAAATGTTAAGAAATCATTAGATTATCTATGTCACAACGTACACAGACAACCCCTTAATATATTCAAACTACTGATGCCATCCACTATATTGGAATTTTAGAGGGGTTTCAAAATGATAATATATTGGATACTATAATTACAAAAGGCAATATATTGCGTAATAGAAATGAAATCTTAATTTGCTCATTTCTTCATATTTCTTCATCAATTCAATGTGTAAAATCAGACTTTTAATTCTTTTTAATATTCAGTTCTTTATGACAAATTTCTTTTGGAACTGGATTCTTAAAAGACGCTTCAAATAAATAGCAAACAGTGAAATATGAAGTTGGATACTTGGAATCAAAGATTATACTGTATCATAGACTTTGAATACCTTTGCTCATATATAACTCAAGTTAAATATGAAATAAGTTTTAACTTAGCTGTATGTCGGCTATTACCAACAAAAACATAAATTACTTTAATGCATTTATAACATCATTTCTCCATAATAGTTATTAATAGTTAACCATATGCCAAACAGTACATAAGACATGGCAATAATATGATGAAATTGTACCTCTGGTTTCTTCATTATCTCGATGAAGAACATGTGATTCTTCATTGGATAAATAATAATTAAAACATCTCCAAAATCTGTTGGTATAATACCCCTGCGGTAGTTCCTGGTGTGTTCAGACCAGACGATGTGAACCTCGTCATTTCCCAAGTGACGAAGCTGCAACAGCAAATTGGCTCTTTATTAATCAGAGTGATAACAACAGTTTATGAGGGGTCATGGTTTACAAATTGAATTACAATGCTCAGCAGCAGAAATATTTCATTACTTCAAAAGGTTAAAACACTGATTTCTTCTACGTGCAATAAAATGGTGCAGGTGGCATGATTACTTAAAAATAATATGGGCCTCATTTGAAACACATATTAGTACTTATATAATGTGTATAATGAGCACATGCAAAGAAATTATTGTTATTCCAGTACAGTTTTAGTAGGAAAGATTTTTCAACTAAAATTTAATATCACCAAAAGCATCATTCTCAAAATTCTATGAACTAAAAATTGAAAGTTATTAATTTTATGTATCATAGCATTTCTTTAGAACACTCCTGATTCAATATCTAGTTGTATAGAAAAATACTGTATGAACAGAAAAAGAATCATACAATGATAATTATAGCATAGTTTGTTGTACTGTTTATTATGCTTATTTGCTGTCGAAAAATTTAAGAAAACATTTTTTAATTACCTCTGTTTAGCAAAACAAAAGAAATGTAAACTTATACAAAAATTATGTTTTATAGTCAAGGTTCAAAGATCATAGTCTAATCATCATGCTATTTTACTCACAGAGGACAACGCAGAATGAATTTCTGTGATTTGAAGATATTAAGAAAAATGAAACATGCCTCATAAGTAACCATATTGAGGTAAGTATGAAATGGGTGAAGAGTGAAGAAACTTGATTACAAAAATCAAAATGGTCTCCTAAAAACTGTAACTATAGAGATGCTTCTAGCTAGTGGATTTTTCAATTATTCTTGTTAATTCCTATTAGGAAGATAAATTTTCAGTCTTTTTAAACAATAACAGGATGATGTGGGCATCACGAAAAAATATTTCTAAACTTGATTTACAAATACAACAGAATGAAAAATGAAAGGACATCAACACTTAAACCTGTGAGATATGTGTCATGTGTTAAAGGTAAAAGTAAAGCTAGACTAACATGAAAAGCATTTTGAAAAGAAAAAAGGTAAAGATTATCCTTTGGGGAAATATGTATGTAAAACTTATCATGATGCATGTAATATACTCAAAATGTAGAAAGATTAGTATAATATAGGGGATGGATGCTCTACATAGGCAGCTCAAGTACTGAGGGAAAAACACAGATGAACATAATATATTCTGTTTTTCATTATAAGGTTACAAAGAAGTCAGTTATGTTGAAATGCCTCCTAATCTTTTCTATTTCATTCTTCTGGAGACAACTCTATGATTCAACTATTTAAAAAGAGATTTGTACCTCCATTCCTGTAGTGTGTGCACATGTGTATGGGTACAAATCAACTGTTTGTATGTAGGTTCGTGGGCTGTCATTTTTACTGAGCACTATGCTATAACAAGGAAGTACAAGTTAATAGTGTTCAAAACTTTCCATTGAAAATTGCCCAATAATTTTTTTCCAGCTTATAGATCAAGCTAGATTAGAGCCATATGAGATGAGAAAACATGAAAGAGTTACACTAGTATTTGTGAGGAAAGTATCCATAATGATGAGGTCACAGATCTCACTAAAGTACAGAAGCATACAAAAGCCTAGTGAGCAAAGGTAGTATAACTGCTTTTAAAATGATTACTTAATGTAACTGAGCCAAAATTTTATGTACCTCTATTTCCATCTTAACAAATATCACAACTTTTAAAAATTTACACATAGTGGCCCCATAACCCACCAGTGTAATATACTACTTTGGAAGTGAAAACATGGTAGTCATTTTGTGCCAACAACACAACGAACAGTGTTTTCAAAGGAGAAGTGAATAACATCTAATTGAAACTTCAGGGGAAATTTAGAAAAGCAGAATGTAATTACTGAAGCTGGAACACAGCCAGGATTCAATATCTAACACCCCTAATCTTGAAAATAGAACCAGCAACTTTAGTAACATATTGCTCTTTGATATAATGCTTGGGCAAATAATTTAAAGGTGAAGAATCTCCCTTATTAAATCAAAACTCACACTTGGTTTTACTTTAAATTATTTTAGAGGTTATCCAATCAGTCATAAGACTCTACTTTAGCATAAAATTTAATAAAATTCAACCCTAAGGCAATGTATCAAAATGCATGAAATCTATTTCTGATAGTTAAGAAGTTTAGAGCATGTGAATTCAAAACAATTAATCTCTGCAATATTCCACCTTTCCAAAAACTCCCATTCAACAATAAACCAAATACTTAAAACAAGTGTTTGCCACTGCAAAACTGCAGCAAAACAGTTGTAGGAATACATTAAATTGTACCACTCATCCTGCAATAATTCACTATTATGCAACATTTACTTTCATTGCTTATAATATAATATTAATCATCACGAGGTTATTTTCTTTTCAATGCTGTATGCCTTAAGCATCTGGGTACCACATGTGTAATTAACTAAATCACAAAATTAACAGTTAAGGCATCAAGCTCAGTTAAATAAAATATTTGGGACAAAGGTGTATTTGAATACACCAAAAAATATGCAACATGAATAAAATAAATACTGAAAACACAAGTAAAATGAGTTTTTAGTCACATCACAAAACTTGCCAGAGGATGCCTAAAGGAGAAAAATTTTAAGTACTTTTCCAGTATCTTTACAAAAGATATTCACTTTACATGTTGTATCTGATAAACATTCCCAATAGAGACTCATTGCAACATATTGTTCAACTACAGTTTCTTCACAATACTCACAAGTTAGCTCAATCTAAGAATGTGCATATAACTTATGGGGCAATTTATAGACTTTTTCATTTTATAATTAATCATGTCAACTATTTCCTACAATGCAAGCCATACTTCAGAATGTACTTGTCAGTTATAGAACAAATACTCATTTTTTAAGCCTTACAAAAACAATTCATGTTCTGAGTCTTGTCCTGTACCACTACTCCTCATTAGCTTGAGTAAACAGTTTTAAAGTCACTATGCTTTAACTATTCTGCATGCTGCCTGCCAGGCAGCACGCCACTGGTGACACTGGTCATGGTACACACCTAATAGTCTGACCTCCTTTTCCTTCTAATTGCATTACATAGCCAGCTGGCTCCAGAAAGGAGTCGTCTGTTTGATTGAAGAATTCCTGCTCCTTGGTAGGCATTGCTGCTACTTTTACTAAGTAACAGTCAGGCCTGACATCCCCATTGTTCATCTGACAGTGTGCCCATCCTAAAATCTAAGTTTTATTTGTAAATTAACCAAGAAACTTCCTGCCAGAACAGCGCTGCCTGGAGACTGATAATGTGTGCCTTTCATTCCCTTTCACTCTTACTGTATCACTGCCAATTTGTTTTTCTGCTGCTGGCCAGCCTGAGGCTATAAAAGCCTTGTAAGACATAAGTGCAATTATAGTCCTGGAGTCAAATGAATTGGACAAATCCAATAGCACAGCTCTGTCCCCACTTTGCAAAACCCCTACAGCAGTTAGATTAGCTGCTAAAAATCTAATCTAGCTATAGCTAACAAATTTCTGCAGCGAAAGATCAAGAGTTCAGTATGGGGTTGCAACCAGATTTCTGAATTGAAAAAGTTCTACTATGACAAGGGCAGAGCATAGCATAAATCACTTTAGAATTCTGCAGCTCATTTTTAAGCTGTTAGGTACAATTTAGTTAGAATAAGACAAGGGACTATTGGATGCTGTTACTGGGATTGATTTTTGTTCTAGCTGCAAGACATCCTGATGAAGAAAGTTTATCACTAATGATGCTAAATCCTGGAACTGCAAAAGGTACCAGCTGAATTGTGATGATTTCAGTGGGGAATCTTTCAAACAGGGCCAAATCTGAGAACATTATTTGTGGGACAGCATTTTTAGCCAGAAAAAAAAAAGCCTCATAAAATAAACAAAACCCTGCACTTCTTTTCATTAAAAGAAAGGAAATGTTTTAAATTTGTATTCCTTCTAAAGAAAATAAAAATGTCTCTCACACACAAGAACTTTCTTTTTAGCATAATTCTCAATTATACTGAAATGACAAAATAGAAACTCGATCCTGACAGCATTAACCCTTTACTATGCATTACTAAGAGTTAGGTAAGTGAAGACCTGGTTGGCTTGTAATCTAAAACAGGTCATCGGAAACATCATTTAAGGTAAATGCTTTGAGATAGGAGCCAAGTCCTTTCCTTTGCCTGCCACAGACTTTCAGTACTGGAAGGGATCTCAGCAACCACACCTCCACTACTCTAACAACCACAGGCTTGACGATCACCAGTGAAGGTGGATCCTGAGGCAAATCATTCCTCTAGTGTTTTGTGATCATTGTGAGAAAAAAATTTTTTTTCATTGCACTGAAACTAAATTAGCTACTTTGTTACTTCCAACCACCTGTTTTTAACTCTTGGTGTTAAAAAGAAAAAGTCTCATCTCTCTACTACAAGACACCCTTTCAAATATTTAAGACAGTGTCAAATCTTCAAGCTAACCTCCTTAAAATCCTTCAACACCATGAATCTGAGGCAGCTAGGTGATGCAGTAGATAGAACAGTGGGTGGAGCCTGAAAGACCTAAGTTCAAATCAAACCTCAGATACTTACTAGCTGTGTGACCCGTGGCAAATCACTTAACCTGTTTACCTCAGTCTCCTCATCTGTAAAATGGGAATAAAAATAGCACCTAATCTCCCAAGGTTGTTGTGTAGATCAAATGAGAAGACCATTGTAAAACACTCAGCACAGTACCTGGCACATAGCCAGCCCTTATAAACGTGTTTATTATTATTATTATTTCCCTTTACTATTTTGGTAATTCTCATCTGGACAGTCTCCAATTTAGAAGTGTCCTTCTTAAAATGTGGTACCACTATAAAGAGGAATCATGGCATAGTATGTATAGAAAAAATTGGATTGGCTGGGAGTCTAAAGACCTAGGTTTTAATTCTCACTCTGTCAATTACTGACAGGTTGTCATTCACTCCATCTTTCACTTTTGCACCTATTATAGATTATTCTATTTGCTAAACTATGCTTCAATATTTCAATAGATCCATGATTCATGTGGGCACTCATTATACTAGTGCAGATCTCAACCCACTTACACTTTTTATATTCTTTGTAATTCAGATGCTCTCTTCCCAAAAATAAGTCCACAGGTTTAGTAGAGCTGAGGAGTACAGAAATCAGCCTATTCAGTGAATACATGTAAAAGCACATTAGGTTTTTCACAACTCCAACAATCCTACATAAAATTTTATTTTAATTATTCTGATTAAGTGTGACTATGTTGGTTACCTCCCCTCTCTTTTCCCCTCCTCATATACACAATGAAGCTCTTGATTGGACTTCGAGTCACCTGTTATTCTATTTATTCAGAGGTCATGGTATTCCATGTTTTACATTTGTGTAACAATACTGGAAAAATATAAGTGTCAAGAAGTTGGCTTATTTGTGTTAGGGATCAACGTGGGCATCACAGAGAGTGCTATGTAATTTCTTCAAATACAATCCAATCTGATCTCTTTGTTCCACTTTTACTCTAGACTCAGCTTATTGTTCATTTGTAATGTCTGTTCAAAATATGTGCACTGAAGACTTACTCATTGTATTCCTCTTCCAACTACATGCCATAATCTGGGCAATTCACATTCTTGATCCACTCAGTTTTTCCTCTGTAGATTGTTTAGGTCATTTTTTTTTTCTATGTGGATCACACAGAGAAAGCTCTATTGTATTAAAAAACATGATGCAATCAACATAATTTCATCTATAACCAAGCTACCTCACAAATATAGTGAATCCCTCTCTCATTTGGACTCTGTGCAAGGCAACTTACACAGCTGTGGTTATTAACCTTGGTGAGTAAACACTTCCCTAAGGCCTTGCTTAATACCGATAATCAGAGGTTTGGAACAAAGTTATTTATGTGGTTACATGCATGAAATATTTTTATATGATGTTAAAACATGTGGAAGATGTTGTTGCAAGAAAACAGTTAAGGCAGGCATAAAAATGAAGAAATGTACGATGAGGAAAGGACGTATGCCAGGCAAGCGCAAGACCGAGCAATAATAGAGAGGCCAGGTGCTGCATTGTTAAAAGACCAAGAGAAAGGCCTCCAGTGCATTTGCTGGATCGTCTGTGGAGGATTCATGGGAGTATACCAACAAGAATCACACAAAATGTGATCTTCCTTGGAGAAAGTACACTTATTGACTAGATCACAACACAAAATGAATGATTTTGCTCTACGTTTAAATTTGACATAATATACTATGATTATAGTCCAGTACACTGGCGAACACTATACTTGGCCAGGTTCCTTTCACACAATGTTGTGAGCTCTAACCTTCAAAATACAGTGGATTGAACTGTAGTGAAAGAACAAAAAGGAGAAAAAAGGAGCAAGCCATAGAGATGGTCAATATTAATATTCTGAAGTCTAAGGAAGTAAAAATAATGACCAATATGACAAATAAATAAAATAAGAATGAATCTGCATAGAAAACATTGAATGAAAGATGGATCATTCTCATCTTACCCAAATGAATTTAGCATTACTAAATCATATTTTAACAGTTTAAAGCATTGTTTTAGGAATCAAATTGGAATCCTGTAATCACCACTCACTACCTGTGTAACTACTCTATGTTAACATCCATAAAATGAAGAAAGTGGGATAGATTCATTGCTCTCTTAAAATCTCTTCTGGTTTTAAAACTCTGGCTTTTATGATTATTATCCTTCTTAATCCAAAGACCAAAGTCACAGAGAGTTTTCATCTAAGGCAGACAACAAAGATCTTAGTCAAAAATGAGTAATTTCCCTAAGAAAGAATCCTCCAAAAGAGCCAAAATGAAGAAAAGTGCTAGAGATAATGGTGTAGGGAGAAGATACAGCCAAAAAAATAAGAGTGGGTCTGCATGTAGTTCACCAGACAGAACCACACGAGAAGGCTAGTGACTCCAACATTCCAAACACATGAATACCTACAGCTGAGATAGGGGGAGTATATACATAAAGTATGGTCATGGCAGTGAATGATTGTCCTATTTGGGCATTTTCTCTGGTGACCAATTCACTCTACACAGGGCAATGAAAACATATATTTAATTAGTCTGTTTTTCATTCATGATAACTTTCTATTAATAAAAACCGATATGTGTATATATAGACAACTATTTATATATATGTTATAGATATCTATATATAAAATCAAGGCTGTTTTTCATCCATTTTTTATTAGTAGAAGTTATAGATATCTATATACACATACATATCTGTTTTTTATTAGTGGAAGGCTGTCATAAATGAAAACCAATATAGATTTTACATATCTATATACATACACATATCCATCTTTATTATTACATATATACACATAATAAAAAATTAAACATATATCTATATATACACATAAATACATATACATACTGTGATAGAAAATGTTGAGAATAAACATTAAGAAACAAATCTACTGTGAACCTTGCCTTTTTTGTACCATACCTCTTAATCTAAAGACCTGTTTCATAAGTGATTACCTATTTTTGTTAACATTTCATCATTTTTTTTGATCATCAGATCTTAGATTTGGAAATTTGAGGGATCTCAGAGGTCATCTAGCCCAAATTCCAATGTGGCACATGAGGAATGGAGGTTCAAACAAATTCAGTGGCTTGCTCAATGTCACACAGGTAGTAAACAAAGAAGCCATATTTCAAAATCAGTTTGTCTGGTTCCAAAACCAGTGTTCTGACAAAAACATTTTAGTTTAGCAAATCTTAGAATAGAGGTGAATTAATAAATGAAAAAGTTCTTTTCTAACAGTACCTAGAAAAAAATTCTGAAAAGATATATACACACAGATATCTATTACCTTTTTGGTGAGAGAATCATCTGAATCAGATGGCATTCTAGTGGAAACATGAAAAATCACTTCCACAGTAGAGGTAGCATAGTAAGGTGCAGTTTGTCCCGTGCTGCCATTTCGCTGTAGGCCACCCATAAATCCACAGTGTGTTGAAAGGTCAACCTTATGTGTGTAATAAAATGAAAAATAATGATAATCAAAAACCAGGTCTTTTGATTTACTAAGCTAGATGACATTGAATATATTACAAATTTAAAGCATGCACACAGCTCTTTGTAAAGCTATGGCTTAGGCATTAACTGCTTAGTTAGTGCCCAGATCTTTTAGTGAGTGGACACTTTTTTTCTTCTAAGGAATATGAATTCTCTGTAGTGTAAAATATTAAGATCCATTTAATTGCATTTTTTCATACTTTGAAAAAACATAAATGAGTTTCTTTCATATTAAATATATTAAGGTTAAAGAAATTTTTTATTTGGCAAAAAGAAAACATGGTCAAAAATAGTCAAGGATGGTTTTAAAGAACATATTGATACCTTTAAAATAAACATGTCTTAAGCTACTGTTAAGAGGAGTTAAGAGAGTAAAGAGCTAACTTTTTGAAGATTTAATAATTCTTTGAGAAATGTCACCTTCTGACTAGTTTTTAAAACTCACCATCATACCCATTCTACATATCCATACTTCTTAAATTGTTCTATACTAAGTTAAAAGAAAATTAAACTAAAAAGAATGAAAAAGACAGAAGTCTGGTTAGATTCAGGGTTCCTAACATTTTTGTGTGTGTGTGTTATGATACTCTCTGGCATCTGGTAAAGCCTGTGGACTCTTCCTCAGAATATCATTAAAATGCACAAAATATGTGAGAATACAAAGAAAACCAATTATCGTGAAATATAATAATCAAAACATTAAAAACAAAATCAAACAAGTATAAAGACCCTGGGTTAAAGAAACCTTAGTTTAGATTACGTCTAGATTATGTAGAAATCTCTGATTTCAGAAGAGCCCTGAACTCATAAACACATATTCTCCCACAGGTGTGTCAGGAAGACCTAGGTTCAAACTGATACCTAAAGGGTGCACGACATTAACAAATTACTTAGTGTCTGGCTCTAGGTCAGGAATCTGCCTGATCTGCCTACAGCCTGCTTTTTGTATTGCCCAGAGCTAAGACTGCTTTTACTTGTTTAAATAATTTTACTCTATTTAAAATTAAAAAAAAAAATATTAGTTCTGTACAAAAAGAGTTAGGCAAGATTTGGCTCTCTGGCTATAGTTTGTAGATCCCTGTTCTAGGCAAATCTCTGAGACTATAAATTGCAGAGATGGTGCCAACCTGCATTAGTAGAGGGAATTTCTTCAGCTGAGAATTCTCTCCCCACCCTTCTTGCAATAAATGTTTGCTTAATTAATTAATTGATTAGTTTTTTTTATCTATTTATGGCATTCTCTCATTTTTTAAAATTTTGAGTTCCAAATTTCTCTCCCTCCCTTCTGCTTAGCCCCTACCCACCAAGAAGGCAAGCTATGCTATCAATTATACATGTGAAATCATGCAAAACATATTAAAACATATTTCTATATTGCTCATATTACCAAAAAAGCAAGAAAAAACAAAGAAAGTGAAAAGTTATACTTCAATTTGCACTAAGAATTAACCAGTTTGCTTTCTGGAGGTAGATAGCATTTTTTCATCATGAATCCTTTGGAATTGTCTTGGACCATATTATTGATCAGGGCAGCTAAGTCTTTCACAGTTGAACATCGTTACAATATTGCTGTTACTGTGTACAATGATCTGTTTCTGCTCACTTCACTTTGTTTCAGTTCATATAGGTCTTCCTATGCTTTCCTGAAACCAATCCCCTTGTCATTTCTTATAGCATAATATTGTTATATCTTGTTCAGTCATTCTTTAATTGATGAGCATGTCCTCAATTTCCAATTCTTTGCCATCACAAAAGAGCCACTACAAATATTTTTGTACATATGGATCCTTTTCCTTTTCCTTTGATCTCTCTGTGGTACAGACTAGGGCCAAAGGTTACACATAGTTTTATAGTTCTTTGGGCATAGTTACAAATTGCTCTTCAGAATGGTTAGACCAGTTCACAACACCACCAACAGTACATTGATTGTCTCTTTCCCCCCTCATTTCCTCCAGAATATATCATTTCTGACAGTTGTGAAGTGGAACTTCAAGTTTATTTTAAATTGTATCTCCAATCATTAGTGATTTGGAGCATTTTTTCATCACGATAGATAGTTTTGATTTGTTCTGAAATCCACCTGTTCATATCCCCTGACCATTTATCAATTGGAGAATGACTAATTTTTTATAAATTTGATTCCGTTCTCTCTATATATAAGATCTTTATCAGAGAAATTTGCTGTAAAATTTTTGATATTACTGCAATATGATACCTTTTAGTAAAATACATAGTTTCCCAGATTATCTCTTTTAATAGGGTCCATTTTTGCTTTTGCTTTATCTGAGGTCATAATTGTTACCCCTGCCTTTTCTACTTCAGCTGAAGCATAACAGATTCTGCTTCAACTCCTTATTTTAACTCTGTGATTGTCTTTCTGTCTCAAGTATGTCTTTTTAGAACAATATATTGCTGGATTCTAGTTCCCATTCTGCTATCTACTTCATTTTACGGTGAACTCATCCCATTCCCATTCAGTTATGATTACTGTGTATTTCCCTCTATCCCCTTTTCCTTGTTTATTCTTTTCTCTCTCTTTTTATTCTATCCTTTCTCAAAGGTCTGTTTTGCTTCTGACCACTGCCTCCCTTAATCCAGCCTTCCTTTTATCATACCCTACCCTTTCTCTTATCCCCTTCTCCTTATAAGATAAATTTCTATGTCCAACTGAGTGAACACCTACCTATAATTTTCCCTCTTTGAACCAACTTCCAATGAGAATGAGGTCCAAGCATTGCCCACCATTCCACCCCACCTCACCCATTTTCCTTTCCACTGTAAAAGCTACTCTTTGTCTGCCTCTTTTATGTGAGAAAATTTTCCTAATTCTACCTCTCCCTTCTCCCAGTACATCCTTCTTTCTTACTCTATTTTTTTCTGAGATCATTGCAATATAATCAACTTACACTCATGGTCTCTGTCTATGCAGACTCCTTTTAACTGCCCTAGTAAAGATCTTAAGAGTTATATGTATCATCTTCCCATATAAGAATTTAAACAGTTTAGCCTAATGGAGTCCCTTATGACTTCACTTTCATGCCTCCCTTTTTATGCTTCTCTAAAGTCTTGTGTTTGAATGTTAAATTTTCTATTCAGCTCTGATCTTTTCATCAGGAATGATTGAGAGTGCCCTATTTCATTAAATGTCCTCTTTTTTCCACGAAGGATTATACTTGGTTTTTCTGGGTAGGTTATTCTTGATTCTAATCCTAGCTCCTGTGCCTTTCAGAATATCATATCCCAAGCTCTCTGCTCCTTTAATGTGGATGTTGCTAAATTATATGATCCTGACTGTGGCTCTATGATAGTTGAATTTAGTTATAATATTCCTAAGAGTTTTCATTTTGGAATGTCTTTCAGGAGGTGATGGATGAATTTTTTAAAAATTTCTATTTTTACTTTCTGGATTTAAGATATTGATGCAGTTTTCCTTGATAATTTCTTGAAAGATGATGTCTAGGCTCTTTTTTTGATCAAGGCTTTTAGGCAGCCCAATAGTTCTTAAATTGTCTTGGCTCAATCTGTTTTCCAAGTGAGTTGTTTTTCTAATGATAAATTTCACATCTTCTTCTATTTTTTCCATTCCTTTGACTTTTTTATTGCCTCTTACTGTCTCATTGAGTCACTAGCTTCTACACGTCCAATTCTAATTTTTAAGGAATTGTTTTCCTCAGTAAGCTCCTATATCTCTTTTTCAACTTTGCCAATTTTGCTTTTTAAGGAGTTCTTTTCTTCAGTGAATTTTTATGCTTCTTTTACAATTGGGCCAACTCTTTTTTAAAGGTATTATTTTCTTCAGTATTTTTTTCTCTGCCTGTTTTACCAAGCCATTAATTCTCTTTTCAAAATTTTCTTGTATCACTCTCATTTCTTTTCCCAATTTTTCCTCTACCACTCTTACCTCCTTCTTGAAGTCTGCCAGGAATTACTGTTGGGTTTATGTCCAATTAGCATTTTATTCTTTGAGGCTTTTCTTGTAGCTATTTTCACATTGTTGTCTTCTTCTGAATTTGTGTCTTGGTCTTCTGTGCTACCATAGTTGCTTTTTATAGTCAAGTTTTTTTGTTTTTGTTTTTTTGTTCCTTTTCCCAACCTATTTCTTGGCTTTAAACTTTATATTAAAGTTGGTTTCAGTTCACCTGGAGATGGGGAAGCTGTCCCAAGTTTCAGCCTTTTTTGTGCTGTTGTTTTCAGAGCTAGTTCTGGGGGTGTGTATGTTTTCAGTACTTCAAAGATGGTATCATCTGGAGAGAGGTGTGGTCAATGTTCTTCTGCCTATGCTCTGGTCTTTACCCAGGAAGTCCCCTTGTAGCTGCAAGCACTAGAACTCCTGTTGGCCCTGGGACTGTAACCAGGTCCTTTGTTCTCCTGCAGCTGCAAGTGCTAGTTCTCTTCTCTGTCTTGGAATTGTGACCAGGGCCCCTGTTCCCTTAAGATCGACTACCAGTGCCTCTCTCCCTGGAACTGTGACCTAGAACTGCATACAGGCAATAGAGTTGCCAATCAGCACCAGCTGCACCCTGTGCCATGGGACCAGCAAATGGTCCCATGGAATTTCTTTCCACCAGCTGTCTGACTCCTTTACTCTCCTTTGGTTGAGAGCTCCCAAAGCTGTTACTGCTGCTGCTGTCAAAGATGCCTCCAAGGTGAGCTGCTGGTGATGCTATTGTATATGTTCTGGGTCAGTCCCCACCCTGGCGTCACAGACCTCTTCTGAAAAACAACTGAATTGTTTTAGGCTAGAACAATGTCTCACTCTAACTTTTTGTTGGCTCTGTTGCTCCAAAATTTGATTTGAGGCATTATTTTAACATTCTTTGGAGGGGAATGTAGTGAGAACTCCTTCACCATCTTGGCTCTGCTGACCCACCTGGGAGTTCTATACAACAATGAAATCACAAATCTAGTCACAAGCCCTACCTAAGAATATGATTTAATAACATATTTTTCTCCATGATTATTTAGAATTGATCTTAGAAAACAGGTTTGAATGGATACTCAATCCAACTAAGAGGACTCCTTCTATTTTATATTTTTCACATTATATCTTATTCATTCCATCTTTCTAGTATTTGACCTCTTTTTTCATTTCTCTTCTCTATTACAGTCATTGCATTTTTGTCAGGCAACCTCAATTTGCCATTCTGATCTTACTATTGGATATCTTCCCAGCTGAAGATCTCATTTTTCCTTCTGATTCAGGTTATATCAAAATAATATAGTGGTAGGAGAACTAGGTGTTTTGGATGCCTGAAACCTCCTCCATTTCCCTTTTTCTCCATTTGAATCTACAGTCAGCCTTTGAAACCCAACTCAAATGCTATAATCTTCATGAAGGCATTCTCGGTCTTTATTTTTCTCTCTCCTCAGGGTATCAAATTACATTTTAATTTTTACTTTTTCTAATGCACACATAATATCTTATTTTTTGTTACAGTCATCTATCTATATCACATCCCATACCATACTTCTAAAAAAGTATGGAAAATATTACATTTCAGCTATTTTATTAACCAAAAGAACACTAATGAATGATTGTTTAATTGAATCATTACTAAAAACTAATAATATTACATATTAAACTATATAATAAAGCTGACAATTATAGCACTTTAAAATTTTCAAAGTATTTAACATACATTGTTTTATTTTATTCTCATGTAAGCCTTTTCAGAAGGTACAACAAGAGTTGTTTGCAGATGAAGCAACTGAACCTGAGACAGATTAAGTGACTTGTTCAATGTCACAGAGCTACTGTTAGAGGTGGGATATGAACCCAGGTCTCACTGATATCAAACCCAATTCTCTTCTACTACATTTGTATTTAAATTTGCTAGAAAGTGGCTAATTAGAGTTGAAACTCAAAAATTAACACTTTCATTACAAAAGACTCAAGAATTCTTGATATCTTGGCTATTTGTATCTTAGACTTCATAAGCCAGCATAATTTTACACAAACACAAAAAGCCCTCTAATTTCCACTCAGTTGCATTCAACTAATATCTATTAAATGAATTACCTCCCAACCAAGCCCAGCAACAAAGTCTTCATAAGACTGGCTTCCCCTTGCATTTGACAGTATTGAGCACTTGTCTTCTTGTCCTTCAGCAATGTAAAACACTGCAATCTTGTGAGTTTCACGGCTGTAAGTTAGAAGCAAATTGAAATGAAGTATATTTATAATGCAGAGGAAGTTGGGGACACTCACTTAAAAATGAGTTGGTATATAATTTCTTATATCATACAGTTTAGGATTTCTTCATTTTAATTTAGGAACATTTCAGCTAACTTTTGAAACAGACAAATTATCTATTCAAATTTTACAATCCTAGCCTTTGAGATTTGAGATATAATACTGTAAAATTCTCTAATTCTAAATCACCAAATTAATAATAAATATAATAATGAATCATAAGGAATGTCATCTTCCAGTAAGAATAGATTCTGAATTTGTCTTGGTCAGTAGAAAGCAACTGCCCATCCCCAAATAACAGCACATCTTCCCCTTCTAAATATGTGTAACTGAATACATGCTATGGGGTTAGAAAAATAGTATTTGGCTGAGAAAAAAATTGAATGGTTTCATTCATGAAAGGCTTAGTTCATATTGATACTATATTAGTTTAACTAGGACATGGACCAATTTACTGTATTTGACTGTATTAAATAACTAATTTCTGTATAAGCAATTAGATCAATGGTTCAAAAAATCCAAAGTTTACATTACACAAACATGGTATTTTGTTAATAATGAACATCTTTCTCCCCCCTAAGGCCCTAAACAGGAATGATTCAATTCATTGCCCTTCCTCTATTGAGAAGTCATATTCTCTTAGGTTTCTTTTTTTAAATTAGGATTGCTAATCTGATTATCATTGTATTTCCTTCATTATTTTTGTAGTGTCTAATGGGAAATAAATCTTTTAAGTTCCATAAAATAAAGTTTTATTTCTCCCAGGTAGTATATTATGCTGCAAGTTCCCAAATGACTGAATTTGTTTTCTATTGGCTAGCTTTTTGAAGTCCTAAATTAGGTTAAAAACAAACAAACAAACAAACAAAAACCACTTAAGAACAACATAGGCCAAAAGAGTGTAAGTTCCTTAAACATTTCCACACATGCAAATTAATTATCATCTTATTAGTCATAATTTATTGAACCTCAACTAAATCTTAGAGGTTAGATGAGAGGACTTTGTAACTGGGGAAGAGGTTTCATTTGATTGGACTAATATCTCACAGAGAAGGCATGCTTTGGACTATAATTTCTAAGGAGGAGTCTTTTGAAGTGTTATGGGGATTCAGAAACATTTAACAACAATTACATTTCAGGAAATATATTGTCTTATACGGAGTACTGAAAAATGTTCTAATAGCAGATATACTGAAGCAGGTAGGTGACAAATGTTGACACCATACACCTTTACCTTTACTGATCATTAGGACATGGTAAAGATATATAGAATCAAAGTACAATTATAAGACAAGCACCAGTGATCATTTATTTGTTTGAGAGTGGGTCCCCCTATCTCATCTGGCTTGGAAGTAGTCAAGCTATTTAAGGTTCTTCCAATCTAAGTACTAAGGCACTACTAATCAACGTGAGAGCTTTGACCTGCTTAATATCTTACCTGGGTTGGTTCACCCTTCTTTAGGTAATCTGGTAGCCCCTTGTTACTAGTGGCTCACATCATAATAATGACAAGCTTAGTACAGATATTCAATCAGCATAGCCTACTGCAGCTCAGAACTCCAGAGCTCAAGAGATCCACCAGCCTCAGGATCTCTGTTGACCGAGATTATATGCATATACCACTATGTCTGGCAAACACTTATATTCTAAAAATCATATTTAACAGTTGGAAAATTTGGATTGATCCCCAATTCTTTACTATAACTAAATCTATTTAATTAAAAAATCTCTGGGAGTTCTCTGGAAGCTGTCAAAGGAAACTTAAATGTAATACCTATTTATGAAATCTCAGACCCAAGTGAAATGTATCTGTTCACTCTCCTTCAATTTCAGACTTTTTACTTTTGAAATATGAGGTTCTTAAAACCCTTATTTGCATGTCCTAGAAATATAATCATTTCAATCATGAATAGCTGTATATTACAGGGGTGAGAAACAATGACCTTTAGTGCTAAAAATTCAACAAATTTCACATCTTTCAAATTTGGAGACCCTAGAAAGTTGGCTAGCTTTTCAACCTGGAGCTGGCCTTGTTAGACTCTTGAATGCATGTAATGTGTTTGCAGTGCTAATGAGCAACATCAACACTATTTCACATCCACAGGATGCAGGAATAAGTATGCAATACAGAAAGAAACACAGACCCACCTTCTCATTCCAATTGGGTCCAGACAAGACCAAGTCAATTTCTTTATGCTTTTTATTTTTTTCTTTATGTTACAAACCAGAATTCAAATATGGGTGACCTTCTCTCCATCTTAACATATACTTGTAAGATTATTACTATTTAAGCAGTAAAACTGATTATTCATTAAATTCGTCCTGTGTCTAGCATAATTCTTTGTGCATAATGTCTTACTTTACACATTTTCTGACCTTAATTAGCTGCATTCTTACATTATCATTAAAATATATAGAAAGGGCAAACCAAAAGCATATATTCTTTAAATGATGGTTAAGTGATATTCTTTGTATTTCCTGACAACAGGGAAAGATAATAATGTAATACTATGAAAAGAGGAAATCAGTTTACATAGGAAGAATTACTTTGAAGGTTGTGGAACACTGAAAGATGTTATTAGTGAAAGCAGTTTAATATGTTGTCCTACATGTAAACTGAGAGAGACTAAGCACTTCTAGATGTACAACTATGGAATATATTTATTTTTTGACTTCAGAAAGAGCTAGTGAAAATATCAATTACAATGATAGAAGTTGGTACCCTACTTAGTTATCAAGGAACATTAAATCCAAGGGATATAGGTTTAAATGAAGGTTAATTAGGGGGGCAGATGATTTGCCGATAAGCTTTTCAAAGCCACATTTTATAAGTGCAAGACCACTCCAGGGAACTAATTCAACTGTACCTCACATAGTTCAAGTCTATTAAGTCTAAACAAATTGGCCATAGTTGTAAGATAACATTTTATTTGTTTAACATGGAGTATATGGAATAAAACAGAATGAATGTGAAAATTTAAGTTTGGAAGTTCATTCCACTTGCTCAATGACGGAGAATTCATGGGACACAAAGGAACACCATTCAAGTTCTGTTTCTTATACAGAATTCCAAAAGTAAACTCACTCTTTCTCTAACCCCAAAGCAGAAGGTGAAAAATATAGTTGAAAATAAGAATTAGGATGATAGAAAAAAATAAGAAAATTGGTATTAGGGTTAAGGTTAGGGTTTTAAGCCTTTTAAAACATCCTTATTCAAATCTGCAATTCTATAACTCATCAAAAATATTTCCCTGTGATTCAGGAATCAAGAAATTTCAAAATGACATAGGTATCTGTTAAGTTTTCTATTGTTAATTATTTTTCAAATACTCCACATAGTTAACAAATGTATTTCTTAAGTACCAATCATAATAGAAACTAAGTGATTTAGGATAATAACTATGCAGATGAGACAAATTTACCCTTCAAGCTTTTTGAAGGAAAAGAAAAGCACAAATAATGTCTTTCATATGTAGGTTCCAAAAGCTTAAAGAAGGCAGTTCTGCTTCTAAACTGGAAAGCCTTAACTATAGGTATGAAGTGCCCTAAATAAACAGGATAGCGTTTTTTAAAGATAAGAGGATAAAGAGAGGAAGAAATAAGGTGAGTGAGAAGAAAAATCAAGTCCCTATCTAAAGGTAAAAGTTTAGAAATGCTAACTGGAAAACAACCTTGGATGACTCTTTAGTAAAGTTCTATAAAATGAGTGGAAGCAATATATAATATGCCCCTCTCTTCCCATTTTCTTCAGTGACCTTTATAAAAGGATTTTGAACGTTTTTAATAGAATTTTAAGTATTGATTCTCTTCTATATTTTTGTTCTAAATGAAAAGAAAAAAACATATTAGTACTGTAAATTTGAAGTACAAATAATGGTAATATGAACCAAGTCATTTTTGTTCCCTTAAAGGTAGCACTGAACTTGGAAGACTCGTCATACCCATGTTTTAATGAGAACTCAAAGATAAATGGAAAAATGAAAACAAACCTATAAATTAGACCTTATTGGGGAATTATTATTTTAAGAAATACACAACTGTCAGATCATTTAAAAAAAAAAGAAAAAAAATTGCACTAAACAATTTGTATGTAAAATAGTAAATGCTCCATAGCTATTTGTTACCTAAATACCTAAAGAGTTTTAAGACAAAAACATGGGGGGGGTGTGTGTATGTAATGTATGTATGTATGTATGTATATGCATATACACATACATATATATAAGCCTTTTATACTTTTATAATATTTCTAAGAGTAAAAACTATAATTTCCCCAGATGTTAAAATTGAAATATGTCATGACATGTCAGGATAAAACTGTTTTTACTAGTTCCCCTTTCTTTATGCTTTAAAAGCTATTTTACTTTGTCTTCTATCAAAAGTTCCAAGTTATTGTTGCTGAATTTAGAATTGTAGGATTTAGAGCTAAAGAGGACACTGAAAATAATCTTTATTTTGTCATTTCACCTAAAAGTACATTAGTTCAGTAAATAGCATTATATATATATATATACACATATAATTTTAAAAGTTAAACATTAAAAATTCACTATTAAAATAGGGTTGAGATAAGGCATGATTTGCTTATTCTACTCAATTTTCTCAAAGATTAACACTTGGGGATTTTGTTATACATAATGGACATAAGGGTTCTAGGTAACATAGGTTCAAAAAAATCTTTTAGCAGCATTGTTGAACTATATAACATAGATACTGAAGTTAATATAGGCTGGGGAAAGAGGCCTGTTGACCTAAAAATTCTACCATTTTGGAAAAGAGAGCTCATCTATATCAATTTATAGCAGAATAATTTTGAACTCTGTGGTTGTTAAAATAAACACAGCATAAAATTTGGCATCATCGAATGAATTACATTTCAAGAAATATGACTATAAAACAAATATATTTCAGAGATATCGGATGTATAAGTAAAGATGGGTATGCACATCTATAGAGCTAAATAACGTGAACATTTTTTCTGAGGATGTATTCTTTTCTGCAAGTTTACCTGCTGTACTTATCCCTTCATCATATCAAACTTGTCATCCAAAAGATGAATGGCCAGAAAATGAAGTGGCCTAGCTACATAGTGAGAAATAATTAAAGGACAGTCTGTGTTGTACAGTGGTACCCACAATGTCAAAAAAATTAGAGGAAGTTCCTAATACACTGGTTGGAGCCATATAGAGGATTTGTGGATGGACATGGACAAGAGTTATATGGGAAAGAAGCGACAGATGACTTGCAATTTGTTACTTTGGAGGAATTATGAACACTAATGAGATCACAGTTTCATCAAAGTACTGAAGTAACAGCTGTACATGTTCTCAGAAGATATAACAAGAATAAAAGTAACTTTTAAATAGAATTACATACCACTGACGTGAGTCCAAATTTTTTAACTCTCTCAACAATTTAGAATTTTTCTTCAGCAGATGAAAATTTTTTCTATAATAACAAAAATTAAAAATTTTGGGAAGATAAATCATGTGAAACAAAAACAATGTACTATGTAATGAGCATTCCTTTTATAAATTTCAATCAGGAAAAAAAAATCAAGGGATGTAAATTAAATATATTCAAATATAAGTTTTACATATGTTTTAAGTTGTCTTACTGCAACCAATTATTACATACTATGGTATTATTAATACTATAATCAATTATTTATTTGGCACTATGCAGATATGAAAGTTAACTTTGCATGTGTTATCTCATTTTTTCAATACAACCACTTTAAGAGGTAGGTGGTACAAGTTACAGTAATATGGAGATTTTGCAGATGTTTTCCCACAGTAGAATGAAAGCTCCTTTAGAACAGGGTCTGTTTTTATTTTTCATTGTGTCCCTAGTGTCTAGTACAGTGACTGGCATAATGTAAGTACTTAATAAATGCTCTTTAAATTGAAGAAAGAGATTCAGAGGCTAATTAATTTGCCCAAGGTTACACAACTAGAAAAAGTAGTAAAGGTTGAATTTATACCTAGGTCTTCTGACTCTAGTATTACATCACCTGGCTTTTCAGCAAAAAAAAGCTGATATCAGTGGTGGCAAACATTAAATGAAGGCATTTTAAACATATGTTTCTGTCTGTGCGTATGTAATGACAGAAACATGATATACAGAAGATGAATTTCCTTCAGGTCAAAAATTGGCAACAGGGAGAATTAGGACTCATGACCAGACTACAGCAAAAGAAAGAGAGCTAAAAGAAGACAGGACAGACTGGCACACGGCGTGTTAAATATACAGACACAATATCCTGCAATACTTCAGGCACTCATCAGTATGAAAACTCCCTCCACTGACATCAAAGGTAACTTCCCGGCAACTTAACCGATAATCTCAGAGAACTGCTCTGCTAAAAAAAAATCACCGCCTTGAATTTACATGACAGCTAATAACCTCTCTGACGCTAGTTAGAATGGTGCTTGCACAATGCACATTACCAATCAATAGACCAGAATCTTGACATTTGAACTTGAATCTTTGGTAGGCTATTAGGATCTGACAGAGCTTGTAGTCCACTATCAGATATTATTTGAGAAATAAGGGTAGCCTCCACACTATGATGAGCCACTGGTATAGAACCTTAGTGAATACAGAAATATGGTAGAGAACAATTGGTGAGGATAAAAGGTGAGAAAAGTAAAAGTGATATTGATGTAAGATTTTTTCTAAATTAAATTTCAAAATTAGCAGACAGGTAATCACTAATTTTAATATCAGCTGGAGTCTAATCTGCTAAATAAAGATTGCTTTTTATATCTTTATCTTTCCTTATTAACTGGGAAAAAGTCAGTTTTATCTAGTGTTCAAAATAGCACACAGATCAAGGATTAAAAAATAACAATCTAAGGAGACTGCACAAGAGAAGTAGAAGTCAGTAGGTAAGAAATAACAAAGAGAGAAGACACAAATGGGAAAGCAGAGCATGGACATATCCAGGAAGGGTCAATGAGGTCAGAGCACAGTTGGCCCTGTAGAACTGGGTAAATCAGTCATTTGAAACCATGTGAGCAGTCTGAGGTAGGATTATCCAGGTACTGCAAGGAAATGTCAGGAAATGGTCAGAAACTGGTAGGCAAATTGAAGTCAAAACATACATGTTAGAACATATAGATCCAGAGTCTAGGCAGTCAAGACAACTGGATCCAGAATATATATCAGCCATCTGAGTGGTAGGGATCAGGACCTAGGAAAGGGGGAGAAAGGTAGTAAAAAGGGTCTTAAGTCAATGTGGTATAATAGAAGGAACAAAGAACAAGAATTCAAAAGACCTTCTTCTTCTGACTCTATCACTAATTAGTTATATGGGGGGCTGCGAGGTGGCACAATGGATAGACCATCAGTCCTGTGAGTTCAAATCTGGCATCAAACCCTTACTAGCTGTATGACCCTGGGCAAATCACTTACCCTCAACTGTCCCTAAAAACCCCAAGAACTAATTAATTGTATTATCTTTGAGCATGTCATTTCATCCTTCTCTAACTCAGTTTCCTCCAAAATAATGAGAGAATTGGACTAGACTATCATTCTAAAATTATGATTCTATGTTCACTGGATCAGGTTAAGTGCTGGCAGAAACCTTAGACATTATATGGTCCAAACCTATCATTTTACATAAGAACCTTATGCCTAAGAGATGTTAAGTGACTTTCCAAGTAAACAGAACCGGGATTTGAACCAAAGTCTTTTAATTCCAAATCTAATTTTTTTTCCATTTTACCACAGACTTGTGGATATAATCATTGTACTTCTCTTTAAATTTCTGAAAAGTTTTGGAGAATGATAGGAGTGCTAAATGCCTGAAGGATAGGTATGAACAAGTATAGATAATCTGAATTACCTGATTAAAAAAAAGGTTCTTGTTTTAAAAAAGAAAGATAGATGGCATAGATTAATTTTTTAACATAGTTTCAACATTAGCTACTTGGCATAATGGGTGGCATGCTAGATATGGAGTCAGGAAGATTCGTGTTTAAATTCTACTCTACACAGTTAGCTATATAACCCTAGGCAAGACACATAATCTCTCTGAGCCTCGGGCTCCTTTGCTTCCAACTGGGGTTTAAAAAAAGAACCTACCTCCCAAAGTTTTAGTAAGACTCAAATGAGATAATCCTTGCAAAAATGTTTTGCTAACTATGAAGATATCATCATCATTATTATCAATAACTTGGCTGGCAAAATTTTGGAATGGGTGGTTTCTGAACACTATGAAAATGAATCAGTGAGGGTAGAAGTGGGATCACTAAGAAAAAAATCATATATAAGCAGGTAATTTTCTTTTTTTACAAAGTTATCTCCACAGAGCAGAACTAGGACCAATGGGCAGAAGTTACAGGGTGTCCAATTTTGTTTTTGGATAAAGAGGAAGTTGTTAACAATTCAAGTGTTCAAAAAAATTGTCTTTTGAGGTAGTAAGCTCTAACCATGAGAAATGAATTACAGGACAAGATGGAAGAGATTCCTACATGAGGACCTCTAAAGATCCTTTAATAAGAAATTGTATAACAATAATAATTCAGATATGCTCATTTTTGGCTAGATGATGTTAATGATGATGATGATGATGATGATAATGATGATAGTCACATGCACATAGTACATTTACATTTTCAAAGTGCTTTCCTTATAATAACCTTGTGAAATTACTGTCAATACCAGATGAGTGAATTGAGGATCAAGGGAAATCAAGTGATTTGTCCATGACCACATAAGTAGTAAATATTAGAGCTAAGATTCCTGTCTCCAATTCTAACATTCTTTCCATCATACCAGATATGATCTGCACAATTCTGCCTACAAGATGGCTAACAAGAGGCCATCTAGCCTCTCCTTAAATACTCAAAATGATGACAAGCTCATTACTTTAAAGAAAAAAAAAAGAAATGGGTTATCTTTTGAAAAGAATATTAGAATATTCTCCCTGATACTGAGGTGGACCTTGACTCCTTTTATAATTTTTACCTATTGGTCTTAATACTACCTAAATCTACCTGTATCTATATAACATAAGTTCAAACTTCTCTACATGAAAGTCCTTTAAGTAAATGAAGATTTTCCTCTACATCTTCTTTTGTAAGGTAGAACATCCCCTTGTTTTCTTACATTATGTAGGAGGATTTTACTAAATGACTTTTAAGGTCTTGTTCTAATTTCAAAATTCTATGACCTCTGTAAAGGAGATGGCATAAATACTAGTATGCCTGCTTTAGATATGAGGAAGCCAGTGCTCAGAGATGTTAAGTGATTTGCTTAAGGTAAAGCTGCCTAAATGGTGGCTGACAAATTGCTGAATAAGGATTCAAACACTGATCATCTCAAACTCAATGCTCTTTCCATAAAATCTCACTAAGCCATACTAGCAAGGAATGCTAACACTGAAAGTAATTTCATGAGATCTAGATGAAATGTCAATGCAATACAAAAATCAACATTAATCAAAGTTACATAACTTCCAAAATAAAGAAAACTGCAGTCACACTGAACAAATAACTGATAAAAAGCTAGATGTTGCTTTCATATCACTGGCTGGAATTAAGCCCAAGAATTGGGATTGCACTCTATGTTTTGCTAATATTTTAAATTTATAAAAATATTCATACCTTTCTAGTGGCTACTGAAATAAATTTAAAATGTGAAAAATAATTAAAGAAAAATCTCAAAATTAAAACTGTCATGTTAAAAAGAAAGCAATATATTAATAAGGTAAATAAAATAAAATGAAATACTGGGTTCATACCTTCTGTCCCAAGAATTCATTCCTAAGTCATTCAGCAGTAATCTACAGAAATAAAATGGACCTTGTGGCTCAGAAGGAACTGGCTGTTCTTCATTGGGAACTTTCATTATAACATCAGACCTGCACCTATGTACATATTCCTCTTCTTGGGAATTCTGATACAAAATTGCTTTGATGATCTCTTTTTCTTGATAATGACTCATTCCAAATGGGGGTGGTGAAGGAGCATTCAGGTTAAGCTGGGACGGCAAAAGGCATTCAGGGCTTGCATTGCCAATATTTTCAAGTAATTTGTCAAGCACATCATCTACTTCTTCAGTTTGAGAAAAATCTTTCTCAGGTTCCAATGTCTGCTGTCTACTGTCTGAAATCACAAAAGAACTATTCCTCTTGTTCTGTGAAAAGCAGCCTTCCAAAGGTCCATATAATATTTTGCTATCCCAAGAATACTTTCCAGAGATATCTCTCACAATAAGTCTAACATCAGAAAGGGCACCTGAAGGCCTCCCTTCTGTTCTTTCTGAAGGAATTTGAAGGTAAGACATAAGGGTATTGTCATTAAATACAAACAACTGTAGGTTTGGACTTCTGAAGACTTCAGAAGAAAGCTCAGGTGACTCAAAGTATGCATTGTCATGATTTTCACTAACAAGGCTGTGAAGAACAGCAGGGCCCCCACTCAGTGGATAGTGACTCAAGTGGTTTACTAGGTGCGTCATCACCATACGGGCAGTCAGAGGGATTAATTCCAAACTCCTCCTCCGTTTTTCTATAAAAATAAATAAAGAATGATCAGAGATGGCAGAAACCTATCGTTAAAATCAACACCAATATATTTCAAATTTTGTTTGTGGCTTTTTCTTTAAACTTTGGCAGACCTATTTTCAATTCTGTCGTGGATTTTTAAAAAAAGAACTGTCAAACCTGCACTTCTGATTATCCAGGCAGTCCCCAACCTATAAAAAGGTTATTTGTATTTGAAATTTGAATTATATTTTCCCTTAGAAATGGCAGATACGTTTCTAGGCAAACTGAAAAACATTTTGTTCATTATCATCACTTACTTAGAGCCCACTATGTAAAAGACATTATTTTAAATATTAGTTACCCAAAGAGGTAAAAAAAAAACTCCTTTCTTCAGCGTTTCTAGAGTTATCTGGCCCACCATATCTTGCAGTCAAATTCAACAAAAATTTATGAGGCAAAATCTTTGTTCAGTAGACTCTACTAGGTGCTAGGAATGGAAAGACTAAAAAATGAAACAGTTCCTGCCATTAAGGAGTCGACAACAGGGTAAAAGGGAAAGAGAAACAACACAAACAATTATGTTAGAAATTATAAGTTAGAATATATGAAGGGTTAAAGGAGGTCAGTGAGGAATGAGGAACTGAGGAGTAAAGTATCAAAGTATTAATTCTTGCTGAAAGAATCAGAAACATTTTCATTGAGAATATACCTGAGCTGTGGCTTTGAAGGAAGTGAAGGATTACAAGAAGTAAAAATGCTTAGGGAATAGTCCATCATAAGAATGGCCAGTATAAAAACCCCAGAGAAAGACAGCACAAAATAAGATCAGGGGGTGGCTAGTAGTAGAGTTAGGCTGAGTCAAGGAGGGATTGGAAAACAGCAAAAGAAAGCTGGAATCTTTTCCAGGTTGGAGCCAGACCACAAAGGGACTTAAACATAGGCTAAAAAGTTTTATCTTAATGTCGAGGCAATGGCAGTTACCCAAGTTGACTGAGTGGGGAAACAATGTAGGATCCTAAGATATGGAACTGAAAGGGTCAAAAACTGTGCATTAGAAAAATTACTCTGGCAGTGGTATGAGGGGCAATTTGTAGTGAGAAAGAGAGCATATAGGAGACTGACATTCTAGCCTGAATAAGTTACAGAAGCCTTAATTTAGGTGATGGGAGTGGAAACTGAGAGCACTAAAAGCAACAAAGCTTGACAACTGACTGAAGGTAGATAGTGATGGAGAGAGGAGTAAAATATGACTGTAATGCTTTGAGAGTCTGGGTGACTGTGAGAATACCAACAAAAGCAATAACAGAGGAAATTGGGAAGAGGGGCAAGTTCAGGATGAAGATAGTCATTTCAGATAAGATTTGAAAGTATAACATTAACACTTTGCTTTGAGTGTTGAAGTAGAGGCAGAAGAAAGACTGGTGAATTTATTATTGTTCTTCCCTGGCATACTTCAGTTGAATTGACTGCCATTTAGTTATATGACAAAGAGAATTTTTTTTTTTTTGGTGAGGCAGTTGGGGTTAAGTGATTTGCCCGGGGTCACACAGCTAGTAAGTGTCAAGTGTCTGAGGCTGGATTTGAACTCAGGTCCTCCTGACTCCAAGGCCGGTGCTCTATCCACTGTGCCACCTAGCTGCCCCTACAGAGAGAAATTATTAAGGAGAAAACTAGTTCAAGGCTGCTCCTAAAATGCTTTTAAAGAGATTTGTCCCAAATTTCAATAGTATTTTCACTAAGTAAATGAAAAAAAATGAAATAAATTGTTTTAAGTTAAATTTCATTCCTAAAATAACAGTGTGTCTTCTTTTATTTTTAACATTCTTTTCTTTTTACATTTTGAACATCAGATTCTCCCCCTCATTCTCTCCTCAATTCTACCCACTCAGAAGGCAAACAATATAACATACATTTGAAATCATGCAAATTTCCATTTTAGCAAAAGAAAGGAAAGAAGGAAGGAGGGAGGGGGGAAGAGAGGAAGGGAAAGAAGGAAGGAAGGAAGGAAAGTAATTAAGAAGTGAGAAAATCACATTTCAATTTGCACTTAGTTCACCAGTTCTCTCTCTGGAAGTGGATAGCATTTTTTTTTTCATCCAAGTCCTTTGGAACTGTCTTGGATAACAGTATTGATCAGAGCAGCTAAGTCTTTTGCAATCATCATCATTACAATATTGCTGTTACTATGCCCGATGATCTTCTGGTTCTCACTTCACTTTTAATCAGTTAATATAGGCCTTGCCATGTTTTTCTGAAAACTATCTCCCTCATCATTGCTTATAGCACAATAGTATTACACCACAATAATATGTCACATCTTGTTCAGTCATTCCTCAATTGATGAAAATTGATTCCTCATTTTTTAATACTTTGCTATCACAAAAAGAACTACTATAAATATTTTTGTACATATGGATTCTTTTCCTTTTATCTCTCTGGGGCACAGACTTAGTAGTGGTATTGCTGAGTCAAAGGTTATGCACAGTTTTATAGTTCTTTGGCACAATTACAAATTGTTCTCCAAAATGGTTGGAACAGTTCACAACTTTACCAAAAGTTGCATTGGTGTCCCTATTTTACCTCATTCCCTCTAGCATTTGTCATTTCTGATTGATGTGAGTTGTTTTAAATTGCCTTTCTCTAATTATTAGTGATTTAGAGCATTTTCCCCCATGAATATAGATAGCTTTGATTTCTTCTGAAAACTGTTTATATCCTTTGATCATTTATCAATTGGAGAATGGCATTTATTTAAAGCCTATTTTTTAAATAAATTTAAATAAACTATTCAAAGTTTTGAGTTTTAAAGCCCATTTTCAAAGAGCTACTATTGATTCAAAATTTGAAAAAAAAATTACATTATTGAAACAGGAGTTCCTAATTCAAAATTTCAAGTATTGAGGGAGTATGAAATACTATAACTGTAGCAAGCCCTATTACTAAAATCAATAAACATAATTCTTTCATAGATGACCATTTTATTCCTGTTCTCTTTTAAGTTCCTTTATAACTGTCCTCTGCTTGGCATTTAAAGCCCTCAACAACCTGAGCCCCTCTTACCCTTCTGGTCTTCACCTTACTCTCCCCCATACACTCTGTGATACAGTAGCACTGACCTCTTTGCTGTTCCTCAAACAAGACAATCTATCTCAAGAATATGGGAATTTTCGCTGCTGTTCTTCCCCTTACCCCCAGTGTGGAACACTCTCCCTCCACTTTTCTGCCTCCTGGCTTCATTCAAGTCCTACGATCTGATCTTCTACAAGAAGCTTTCCTGATACTTGTTAATGCTAGTGTTCTTCCCTCTGTTCATAATATTCAATTTATCCTGTATATATCTTATTTGTACAGTTGTTGAAATGTTGTCTCCCCCAGTAGTCTATAAGATCCTCAGGAGCAGGGACTATTTTTTGCCTTTCTTTGTATGCTCATCACACAGCAAAATGCCTGGCAAATAGAGATGCTTAAGAAATATTTATTGATCAACTGTAAAGTCAGTGGTAATCAATAATTTAAAAAAGTGATAATTAATGTTCCTTAAGTATGTCAAAATTAACAGGTCACAAATAAGTTCTTGCATTTAAAAAAATAGCTGGAAATAGCTATGGTGAGAGGCTGGGAGGAGAGGGAGAATTGAGATTAACACACACCAAACATAAGAAACATTTTGTACTACATAAAATGACAAAACTATCTCATACCTATTTTTATCTCTCTGCTTTTAACAGAATGTACCCACTCAGCAAGAAGTATCTGTGTACAACACCAGATTTTAATGTTTCTAGCTTTTCTGTTCAGCTAGGATAACAGTAAAAAGGCTTTTTTTGTTTAATTCTAAGGCAAAAATTCTTTCTAGTATCAAAGAACTGTGTTAAGACAAATATCTCCTGGTTTTCAGATGGCACTAAGCTCTTCCAGGTAACTTAATGCCAAGCTAAGGGACAGATTAAAGACAGATCTCATAAATTTGTGTAAATGGGAAGAAAAAATGACAAATTGCAATGCAAACAATATGGGAAAAAAGAAATTAAACAATATTTCTAAAAGACTTCTAAGCCAATAGATAAAACTTTGAAAAAAAAGATTTAGGTGTCATTATAGACTGTTACTTTAAGCACATGGATTGAATGCACCAACTTCAACAAAAAAGGTCAACAATATGTTGGACATAATTTAGAATGGTGGTAGAAATAAACTATTTCACACTTGTGCAAAATAATAGTGTGTCTACCATCCTTGGAATTCTACTCGCAGTTACAGATAACAATATAGGATAGGTCCAGAAAAGAGCACCTACAATGAACAAGAAAGCAGAGGGTGATCAATAAAAGGGAAAAGTAAAAACAAAAACAGGATTCATTAGAAAGATACAAGTTATTAAACTCTACAAATATTTGTTCATGCCTACTACATAGTAGATGATGTTAGGTTCTACAAAAGACTCAATTTTTAAGTAAGTCATAATCTCTGCCTTCCTTGATTAGTCTGAGAATGGTTAGTCATTGCAAATTAACCAAAAAGGAGTCTGTAAGTAAGTGTTACATGTTACGCGTTGTTCTAGGTACTGGATATGGTTAAAGTACATACAATTATGAAAAAATATAGTAACCATCTGATAAAATTATGAGGTCTTTGCATTATAAATCAGAAAGCCTGCTTCTAAATCCTGAGTACAACACTCACTAGATATGGACATTTGGTACAGTCACTGCTCTGAGGCTCACTTGTTTCATTTGCACACTGAAGAGTCTTACAATTTTTGCCTCTCAAGAATGTTTGTGAGGAAAGAGTTTTAAAATGGGATATGACCAGTAAGAGAATTTGATTTCACTATGCACATTACAAAGGTTAGTTACAAAGGTTTGCCTTTGTCCTTTTTTTTTTTTTTGAATGGTGGGATGGGAGAGAGAAAAAAGTGATTTTTTTTTTGAATGATGGGATGGAAGACAGAAAAAGTGGGTTTTTTGGGGGCAGAGTGAGGCAAGCAGGGTTAAGTAACACAGCTAGTTAAATGTTAAGTGTCTGAGGCTGGATTTGAACTCAGGTCCTCCTGACTCCAAGGCCAGAGCTCTAGCTCTATTCACTGCACCACCTAGCTGCCCCGAAAAAGTGATTTTTGTTAGCTAAAAAAAGTTTTAAAAGAAAATTAAAAAAAAAAAGATAATTGTAGGGAGTTATTTGAAGTTTGCTAATTATTGTTAGTATTTGTACCACATTTTGAAAGACTCAGAGAATTCCTAGAAATTGGAGGTAGTTTTTAAATCACTCAGAAGCATTTATTGAGTGATTATTGTATGCCAGATACTGTGGTGAGTACTGGGGATTAAAAAGAAAAAGGCAAAAACTATTTCCTGCCATTGAGAAGTTCACATTCTGATGTGTAAAACAACATATACATTTCTATGTATGTACAGGGGTAATTGGAGATAATTTCGGAGTAAAGGCACTAGCATTAAGTAGGATCAATCAATAAAGGTTTCTTGTAGAAGATGGGATTTTAGCTGAGAATTGAAGTAAAACAGGGAAGCCAGGAGGCAGAGAGGGAGAAAATTCCAGGCATGGGAAATAGATGGTGAAAATGCATAAAGTCAGGAGATGGAATGTCTTATGCCAAGAAGAGAAAAGAGGCAGTGTCACTGGATGTAAAGAGAACCTAGCTTTCCCCAAATTCTAATGAAGCTAGGAGAAGAAAAATCACAAGATACTATTTGGGTCAGATGCATTTATCTGCAGTGGTATTGGTAATGATTAGCTGCACTGGGTGAGGTGAAAAAGAATGAACGAGGGGGAAAGAAAGTGAAGAATCAGAAGGAAAATCTGTTTCAGCACATACAGATCAAGTACCATGGATTCTGCCACAGTGGGAAAGCGAATACCATACTGATCTTATTGAGAACATTTGAGAGAATGCATAAGTGGTGGAGTGAGAAATGAAAGCAGACTGATGCAATACAACTCCAAAAAAGAAATCAAAGGGAGAAGGAGTAGAGAGAGGAGCTAAACAAGGAGATGCAAAAGAAGTTAGATTCAAAACAACTAAATATAGAAAAAGGACTCATTTGTAAGTCAGAGACATATTACAGAATAATGGAGTTATGTGTGAAGGAGCACCTTTCATTGACCTGGCTTAGGCCCATTAGGATTGCTTATCCTGCTTTTAAAATATCAAATTTCAGGGTGGCCCCTAAAAAATATTGAGTAATTTTCTTCACTGGACTGTACAAATGTGATTATTCATAATATTATATTTAGTGACTGGGTAAATTTTAGCTCACATTAAAGGGCGGATAAATATTTTGAGGAAAAATTGAGTTAGTCTGGGTTTAAAGGGAGATTCTTGCTTCCTTCAGTGAGGTTCATAAACTTGAGTTTCAAAGACCACATTATAATGGTAAATTTTGCTAACAAGCAAAAAGGTGTTCAATGCAAATCAAATCTCCACATTGAATTCATGGTTCTTGTATCCTTTTCCATTTCTCTACTCACATGAATTTTATCCTAGCATAGGACCTCATCATTTCTTGCTGAGACTATTGCAATAGCCTCCTAATTAGTGTCTCTACCTCTAGTATCTTCTCTCTAATCTACATAGCTGCCAAATTAACAATAATAATAATGCCAAAGTAATATTTCTATAACACAGTTCTGATCACGTCCCTTCTCTGATCAAGCAGTTTCCTGAGTGGCTCCCAAATACCTTCAAAATTAAACTCTTATTTGGCACTTAAAGTCCTTCATAATCTGGTTACACTTTTTCTAGCCTAAGTATTCATTATTCCCCCTCATACACTCTATATTCAAAAAGGCCTCCTTATTGTTTGTCCACATATATGATACCATTTCCCCCCTCTGCACCTTTGTCTAAGCTGTTCACTTTGATCCACCAGTACCTCTTGGAATCCTTCTCTCCATTCAAAGTTCAGCTCGTGTCATCTCTAAAACACTTTGCTTGATACTTCCAAATACTCCTACCATCTCCTCCACAGAAATTATTTTGCATATATTATTTTCTTTTCTGGGCACGTGTTTTCACCATGTAGAAAATAAGTTCCTTGAGGGCAGTGACTGTTTTGGTTGTTGTATTTGTATCCCTAGGTTGGCATAGTGCCTGTTGCTTAGTAAATGCTTCCTGAATCAAAGAGTTATTTTTATACCTCCAATTCAACACCTTTTATTCCCTATGAGGGGAAGCATGTTGTAGTGGGTAGAAAGCCAGGTTTGGAGCCTGGAGAAAATGTTTCAAGTCCTTCCTCTGACACATTCTGGTTGTGTGACTCTAGACAAATTAAATTCTCAGTGCTCTAGGGAGTTCTATAAGACTAAGTTGCAGAGAAGGTGCCAGCCTATATTGGGAGAGAGAGTTTCTCAACAAGGAGTTCCTTAAACAGTGAAATCACAGATCTAGTTCCTATCCCTCTCCTGCATAGTACGTATGAATTGAAAAACACAGCGGTATATGGGAAAGAGTAAAAAAGCAAAGGGGAAGGAACACAAAAGGCTCCATGTGCAGAAGGTAGCCAGATTGAGGAAAAGCAAAATCAAGTACTCAAAGCTCTCCTCTCTATTGATAAATGCATTCCCTAAGCATGAAATTTCCTAAACTCTTGCAACACTGGTAGAAATAAGCAACAGAGTAAGATTCTGATCCAATTTTGATGTAGACAAACAGTAAAAAGAAAAGTCTCTGCTTTTGCTAATCTTCCCCACCACAACTGATAATATAATAAGTCCCTGCAAATGGGGAGTTCCTCACCTTCAGCAACAGTAAGTAGGTTCCCCAGTTCTGTTGAGGAATGGTACTGTACAGGTTCAGAATTCCGGACATTTGCCAGTGGCAAAAAAGGATCATAATCAGAAGATGAAAGGTCAGCCAGAGTCAATGTGTAGTGACTTTGTTGGGTATATGTGCTTGAGCCAGAAACACAACAGTGCAAAACCTATAAAAATATAATAGAAAGTGGGATTACAAATATAATAAAAAAAAACAAACAAACAGATTAAAAGGTCACCAGATAGGCAACCTACTTTATAACAATTAGAAAGCCCTAATTTTTATACTTGTGAAATTATCTTGTGACAATTATAGAAAGATCAAAAGAAAACAAAATTAAATGGCAAGTTATCCTACTGTGGCACCAAAAACACATTCTTGAGCAAAAAGATTCCTAAGTCTTTGCCTACAAGATGGGAATAAGAGCAGAATGTGATTATTGAGAGGGAACAGCTCTGCGTAAACAAAGAAATTATCTATGAATTGTAAATGGAGTTGAGTATTATCAAAGTTAAACTAAAGGAGATAAAAAAAAGATCATAAGCCTTTCTAGTTCAGTTACAGTCCAAGAAACAGAATGATATCCATTGTGAGCCAGTATATACATATTTGATAACACCAAGAAAAGTGGCAGAAACTAAAAAGATCCTAATCTAAAATAGAAAAAATGGATTAATCTTCTTATCAACACATGATTAAATGCCCTGAACATCAAGTATTACTTAGAAAATAGGAATAATTAAAGCAATTCTTTTTTTTTGTGCTTTTGTACATACAAACACCACATACAAAAAATCATTTTGAGTACTGGGTAGGAATGTATAGTTTTGATATTTCCTTTTTCAAATTCTAAAATAAGAAAAATAAGTGAAGTAAATTTTTTTGAATAAAGTTTTAATAAAGATATATAACACTTTAAAAGATGCTAAAGAAACAGTGTAAATTTAAATATAGTAATTAAGATATTCAAATCTAAAATAGTTCATTATAAGACTAATGATGATGTGCTATCTCTATTCTTTGGAGAGGATGGACAGAGAATTCTGCAACAAACTAAAATCATAAGAACAGCAATGGGTAAAGTATAGCCAAGAAGGCAGTGTAATGCTGTTAAAGCAACACTTATTAGCATATGTAATTCATTTACTATCATTGAAAAGTCATTATTATTAGTTAAAATGAAAGAAAATCTATCCAATAAAAATAAACTGGTATCAAGGCCAACTCTACCCAAAAAAGAAATCAGTCATGTTACTAAAGCTATCCTTGCAAGCAAAATATTATTTTAGAGAAATAACAATTGAGTACTTGGATAGTGCCTTGTACATAAGGATTTAATAAATACTTGTTTACTTAAAGCAATGTATAGTATTGCTTCATTCAGTTAATTTAGTTTGTATCAAAGATGTAAGTTTATGTGCATTATAACCACAGGAACAATAGGAGATTAATGAAATTCTAATTTAATTAATCTCTTTCTAATTTAATTTTCAAACATTTAAGTAAGAAATTATTTCAATATTTTTTATCCTGTCCTTAAAACACATCAACTAAAATGAGTATTTCAATAGCCAGTCAGTCAGTCAATTAACATTTATTAAGTGCCTAGTATGTATTAGACATTTTGCTAAGCACTGCGGATACAAAGAGAGGCAAAAGACAGTCCCTGACCTCAAGGAGCTCACAATCTAATGGAGGAGACAACATATAAACAACTATGCACAAGTAAGCTAAATACAGGATAAATCAGAAATAACTAACAGAGGGACATAACTACAATCAAGAGAGATTAGGTTCTAGAAGGTAGGATTTTAGCTGGGACTTGGAAGCTCGGGTGCAAAGATGAGGATAGAGAGTATTCGAGGCATAGGAGATTTTATGTTATGTCCCTGAGAGCAATCGGAAGAGCCAAAGAAAATCATCAACTCACCCTATAAATGTAATCTAGCAAGGGAGCTCTAGATGAATGCTGATCTTCCAGAACAGTAGACACTTGATGCATCAGGGTTTTCATTGGCAATGCCATGCACCAATCCAATAAGCAGAGTAAAAGAGAAACAATAAACTGTAGGAAGAAATAGGCAATTATTTATGACACATTTCTTGTCACACTTCACCATAAATAATGACGTATTTGTATCTGGCTGCAGAAAATCATTTACAGATATATTAGTATCACCTACCTTTTTATCTGTTTCTACTGAAGAGTACTCAGCACTTGGTAAAAGAAATGCAATCGTGGCCACAAGGATCTGCAAACCAGAGTGACAATTTAGAATTAAAGGTTAAAAGACATCTTCACAACAAAACCTAATTGCTTAAATTCCTGCCAAACTTACTTCCACTGGAAGAAAGTTATACAAGCAAGGAAGGAATTTAGGGAATGCATATAATCATGAGAATAGGTAACAGCATATGTAGAACGTGGATCTATGCTCAGTCAGCTTCAGTGCTACTCCATTTCTTTAAAGAAAGACAAATAACAAAAGAAAATATGTAGGATAACACAGCGAAGGCAGTAATCCGTTCCGCTAAGTGTATCCTCTTCTTAACTTCTGCCTCCAACCTTGTAACACTAATGAAAAAGAAGTTTAAACTTACACAATATCATGAAATGCTTTTTCTTTTATCTGCTATCACTCTTGAAAAATTATCACCAGAACCTAATATTTTTTTCTTTTTAATACTCAAAGCAACTCACTCTTTAAGCTGCAGCTTCCTTTTGGCTTCCAACTCCAGACATGCCCAATAAACTCGTAATTGAAACTTGTCTCAGACAAAAGAGTATATGTAATTTTCCTACAGTCCAGCCCTCAGACTTTTTTTTTCTTCTTTTATCATGCATTCCCACACTGACAGAAAATCAGTATTAGATATCTAGGGATAGCATTTCCATACATATTGAATTTCCCTAGTACATTGCATCATGTAGCAATTACCAGGAACCAACAAATTCTGGAGTTGCTGTTAGCTACCAGGTACCTGATGGGAATGGGTATTTGATATTTGATAGAGTGTATTTAATAGAGGATGGACCTCTAAATAGAGGATATTTATGCAGATTAAGTACCCTTGAATGTAGCTAGTCCTAATGTACTGTGCATTTCTACCCACTAATTATTAATATCACCATGGAGTTTAACATTTTTATCAGTGACTTGATTAATGGCACATATTGAAGATATATCAAGTCTGTAGACAATAAACAGCTAGGAATGATAGCTAACACATTGAGTTATAGCATCTAAAAAGATCTTGGCAGGTATCTGGTCAAACTGAACAAAGTAAAATTTAATTGGAATAAATATAGTCTTTCAATTGGATTTTTATAAAAACAAGATAAGGAGATACATGTCTGGATAAAAGTTTGCCTGAAAAACATATGAAAGGTTTACTGAACTACAAACTCAAACTGATTGAACAATGTGCTGAGAGGCAAGAAAGTTAATGCAATATTAAACTGTATTATACAGCTTCGAGGGACAAAGAGGTAATTATTCTGCTCTAACCTACCCTGGTCAGAGAGCATCTGGAGTATTGGGTTGAATTCTGAGAATCACATTTTAGGCAGGACATTATTAATTGGGGATTGTTCAGAGGAGGGCAGTCAAGAGTGAAGGACCTATGGAAATGTTTAATGAGTAAAGGAAAAGATCTGAGGGGACATGATAATTATTTGTTAAGCATTTTAAGATTTGTCACCTGGAACAGTGATTAGACTTGTTCTGCTAGGTTGCACAGAGCAGAACTAGATGCAATGGGGAAAGGTGTGAAAAGGCACATTTAGGTAGATATAAAGAAAATCTTGCTAACAATTAGAGCTCTACAAAAGTGGAATGGGCTCTCTCAAGATCATTAAAAGTCACCAACAAAAGGCTGCATGACCACTTTTATATGTTGTAGAAAAAATTATTTGTCAATAGTGGGTTGGACTAAATAGTTATTGTGGTCCTTCCCAGTTTGAAAAATCCATATTTCTCAATTAATCCTATTATAACGAAGTAACCAAATTTATAGCAGGAAATTTTTTTCCAAAGAGTAATCAAGGAAAAAATGAAACTCTATATCCTTTGGACAATAAGGCATCTTCTCAAGTTGAGGCATCCAATCAGCTGCTTATTCTTTGCTGTCATTATCTAAACTTCTTTCAGTGAGTATAAGGATGTATTTACAAAAGATGTATTTGTTTTAGTTATGTCTTTCAAATTTTACTAGCACTGCTACTGCCTTCCACCACTGACTACTTCCTTAATTACTAATTAGAATCAAATTGAGTTAGGATCTAATAAATTTTAATTATCTTATTATATATATACACACACACATATGTATACACACATATAAGCTTGTTGATTGACTTATGCCATACAAAAGTGGAAAGGACTGCCCCAGGAGACATCAGGCTCCCTCTCTCAAAGTCTTCAGGCAAAGTATGGATGACTACTATTGATGCATGTTGTAGAGGGAATTCTTTCTCTTTTATGGGTTGGACTAGGCCATCCATGAATCTTCCATCTGTGAAAATTATTTGATCCTTTTCTCCCCATTAGTTTGTACACCTTGAGTGGTACAATATATAATATAAAAAGTAAATGGTTATATTTTAACACTACAAAAAGCAGACCTACTTCAGTAATTTTCCGTGGCAGAGAGTTATCATACTTTTGAAGCTTTTCCCAATAGGACACGAGCAACTGAAGGATATCACAAGCTACCTGAGCCACTATCTTATTTGGAAACTATAAAAGAAAACAAATATTAAAATCAGTATTACACAATTGAACACACATACAAATGTAAATATAATAATGTTCGTGAGAATCTTTTTACTGCCTAAGACATTTATTTATTTTCTGGCACAGAGGGTATATATTTGGTTTATTCTTTTCAAACACTTATATAAATATCTAGCCTTCTGCAGAAAGCTTTTCCTAATGCCCCTTAAATTTTCTGCCTTTCTTTTACTGATTACCTCTAGTTTATCCTGTGCATATGTCTTGTTGGTACACAGTTTCTTGAGCTCCTTAAGAGCAGAGATTGTTTTGTGCCTTTCTTTGTACCCACAATGTTTAGTATAGTGTCTGGCACTTAACTCTGCATCAGTTCACATAAGTCTTCCTAAGTTTCACTGAAATTACCTCATTAATCATTTCTTATGGCACAACAGTATTCTATAACATTCATATGCCATAATTTGTTCAACCATTCTATAAGTGATTGGAACCCTGTAGTTCTGAATTCTTTGCTACTACAAAAAGAGCTAGTACAGATACTTTGGTACAAATGGTCTTTTCATCATTCTTTGACTTCCTTGTGATATAGGTCTAGTAGTGGTATTGCTGGGTCAAAGGGTATGTTATTTGAGTATAGCTTCAAATTGCTCTTGTAATTATAATTGCTTTCATGAATAATCTTTCAATTGTATAAGAATGAGGAAATTATAAAGCATGACGATCTATTTTACAAATGCCTGAGTCTCAAAAGTGTTGGCTACTTTGTGAAGAAGAAAAAGCCAAGATTTTTAAAATGTCACTGATTGTGACTAAAGAACACATGCAGAGAACAAAATTATCTGTCAATAAAAATCAAATATCCAAGGCTTTTAATGCACCTGCAAAAACATACAACATTGAAACATATTAGTAAAACATAATTTTTCTAAAAATCAAATCTGTTAACTCAGTAATTCAATATTAATTAATAAAATATTTTAAAGATACAAAATAGAATCAGATACATTCTTTATTAGGAAAAAGAATGTAAGTTCCATGAGACCAACCAAGTACTACTTGAATTTTATCTCTGTAGCCTCAAAAATTAGCATGGCACTTTACACATAGAAGGGACTTAATGCTTCTTAAACAGAACAGAGACAAAATACTAATAAAGTTTATTTAAGTGACAATAATTTTTAAAAATTCTAATTCTCATAATCCAACATACAACTTTTCAATAATTATGTTTGAAAAGATATAGAACTCTACTTTTGTGGCCTTACTTTTTTAAACTCTTCACAATCTGGCTTCCACTCACTACTCCAGATTTATTTCTACCTCTTCCACTTATGTGCTGCTAGTTCAGGTCAAGCTGGACTATAAGCTACTCCATGCACATATCATTCTAACTCCTACCTCTGGGCTGGATCCACTGTCCTCCCTCATCATCTCCTCAAAGATATCCTACTGTCCTTTAGAGAGCAGTCCCAGTGTCACCTCCAGGAAGCAGTCTTTTCTGACTCTCCCAGGGTTAATGATTACACTTTCTTGAGGTTACTTGGTATTATTTTGTACATATTTTATGTTTACTTAATTGTTGCAGATTTTACACTCTCAAAAGAATGCAAGCCCCTCAAGGGCATACCACAAATTTGTAGTAGGTATTTAATAAATGTTTGTTGAATTGCAACGATAGTTTCAAATTCATTATCTCTTTAGCAGTAAGAGACTATTCAACTTAACTCCTCCCCTCCTCCACCAAAAAGGAAAAACAAAAGAAATAAAAAGAAAATTCTTCTGTGCTGACAAGCCTTCTTTAACAAATTTGAAGTGGCTTCTAGACTACATCAGAATTAGACATAAGATTCTCATTCTATGGTTTTTTTTTTAGTTCCAATACTATAATAACCTAAGCAAGAATTTTGAAATTCCACAATATGTAAAGATGTGTGCCTATGACTAATCTCAGCAAGACAATCTCTAAATTATGATCACTTCACTCATAAATGTTCTATACATAAAAATGTTTTCTGTTGTCTCTTTTCTTTACCTCTATTTCCCAAATGCTGATGTAGGAGCAAGGACTTCTCTGTGTCTACACCATTGCTAATAAGAGCTTACCTGCTGAGGGAGTAGTGGATGAAGGAATCAGAGGGCAAATATTGGTGCGACTTGAGCTACCTTATGTGCTAGGCATGTTTTGTAGACTGTAGGGGGAAGTATGAAAAAACTGAACAATAAATAATACACTGGGTACTTAGTAGGAAAAAATCAGACCCAGTTCAAATTTCAAGTGCATCTTTAACATGTAGAAAACACTTTAATCATATTAAAATCATGAATGAATACCTTTAAAGTTACACCTATAACATTGACTGCAGCTTTTACTTTTGCATGATTTGTACATTGAATAAGCTCTTCGCATATCCAAAGTCCGAGGCAGCAAACAGAAATACATCTTTAAAAAAAAGAAAAATTCCTTATGAAACTTGCAAAATATTACGGGTATGTTTTAAATATATTTACATAAAATAAAAAACAGAAATAAAGCAGTCTCTGTAGGCTGGTTTCCAAGACAGATATAAAATCTAGCTCCCTATCCCATGTAAATATTGAGTGAAAACAAATGGCATATTCTCTGTTAATATTTATGACACACAATTAAAATATTTTAGCAGAAATAAATGTTCAATATATTTTTACCTGTATGACAGAAATTTTAATTCAGATATAATTTCTTTTAAAAGTCTCAAAAGCTTCTTTTTTGGAAGTTTTCCTTTAAGGTATCAAATCTTCACAAACATCAAAACACTATGTTCTCTTTAGACTCAAGTTTTAATGAAACTAAGATTCAAAGTACATTTCAGAGGGTTATTACTTAAAAAAAGACACAAAAATGTAGAAAAGCTTTTCCTTCAAGCAACACTGTCCTTCAAAAATTATGTGATTTCCTACAAAAGCCATCTCAAGTACTTTTGTTTAAAATCTTGCCTTATTTTCTTAGTGACTAGAAAATTTTCATTCACCCTCACAAAGCAAATTCAAAGGTTTGTTCTAAGACCTGATGCCTTTCAGAATTAAAAGAAACTAAACTATTATTTGGAAATCTATTAGTCCATTTAGCCACTTTTTTTATTCTTGGACATCATTTATCTGCTAGATTTCACATGTCATATTTGAAAATGATAAGAGTACGTTCAGTTTTTGTATTGTTTGGGGTTCCTTTTCTTCAGGTTAAGCTGCTCATTAGACTTGATTTTCTTAATCAGCCATACCTTTATTTATATGAAGACATTCAAATTATCAACATAAAAGAGAAACTCTTTTTAATACATACTCCAAATATAAATACAATATAAACTTAAAATAAAAGCCTAAAGTGATCCAAATAGCTTACAAAGCCAGCATAAATCCAGTCCCAACTACAGTATTATAAAAGATTTGTATTGTACTTGTAACCCTGAACTTTTCCTTCTATATGTTACTCAGTAAATCTTTTATCTACTTCACACCTTGTTTTATAAATGATTTTTAGAGTACTTTTTCTGTTAATTTTATTAACTATTGCTTTTAAATTCTACTTTCTGGAAACTATTCTTTAAATTAGTTTGTTTTCCATGATTTTCAATGTATTCTATAATTTTCATAAAAATTTCTTCAATTTACTTCAACTCACATTCAAATTGTTCAATCCAGTAGAATCACATCATTTAGAAACCTATTTAGCTTTTTATGGAACTGCTGTCCTTCGTAAGTTTCTTCAAGTATGTAAAAATATTACGAAATTCCTTTTTTTTTACTAACACTTTCAAATTCTTCAACAGAGAATATTCATTTCACTATTAATACAAATATTGTTTTTACTGTGAATGTCAACTGCATTAATCTGAGACAAATTAAGATTTAATACACCCCCTAAAACTGTCCCTGAATTTTCAATGTGCAAATTTTTAAAATCTCTTTCTCTGAAACATAATAAAAGAAAGCCTCACATCACAGCATAATTCCTTTCCATGTCCACACCAAGTGTTATTTTCCTGTATTTCTCTCAACTGTCTTTCAAGAAGCTAAGTCCTAACGTTATTCTGAACCCTACGCATATACTTCATTGGAACTTCATAGATTTATCTAATCATCTAAAACAGCATGTTATAGTAGATAAGGAGATACCCTGAGAGTCGGGGTAATAGGTCTGCCTCTGATACTTATTGGATCAATGAACCTTGAGTGAAGTCACTTAAGATTTGAAATGTATAAATTTATGAAACTATATGCAAATTACAAGACAGCTGCCAATCTGCATTGATCTGGAAGTTTTTTGACCAAAAGTCCTCTATACCAATTAAATAAGAGATCCAAGTTAAACCAAATCTCCATTATTTGACAAAAACTTTTCCCTACTCTTTTAGACTATTTAAATATTCATTTTAAATCTGATCCTCTCTGCTTCACACTTTCTATAGAGATTTGAAAAGGAATATACGTTGAATATGGAGTATGAGGTTAAGTATTTTGGCAACAAGTTATTCTATCTCCCCAATTTCATCATTCTTGCCAACCTTTGCATTTAATAGTCTGCACAAGCCCCAAACCACCAATGTTGAGGAAAATTCTCCCCCGGGTATATTCAGTAATCATTTTATGAATTAATCTTTCTAAACTATCATTTAAAGTAAGACTCATCTTCTACTGCTTTGTGGCCACCTTTTGATCAGTTAGGATTTTTTATTTATTTATTTACTTAGTTTGCATTTCTTATCTCTACAATTAAAAGTTACATTTCCATCACTCTCATTATTATATCCTCTAGGCAAAAAAGGTTGTCTAAGAAAGAAATGCTCTCATGTCATACTAATAAATGTTAGCCACAATGCTTAAGCAGATTATCCCAGTGTTGTGGTCTCTTCCAATTATCTTTAAATGAAATCTTTAGAAATATTACTTTCTTTCTTTATCCTTTAGTAATGAATAAAGGAAAACAAAGTATTCCCTTATAGTTGATAGTTTTCTCATTAAGTTAAAGATTCTTTGAATACATTTAATCAACAACATAATGAAGGAAATATGGATTTCTTAAAATCATTCTTATTTGAAAAGGAAAGGACTAAATCAATTAACTTTTTATAAATTGTTTTAAAAATGACATGCAACAAGATAATAAAGATACAATTTTCAAAAGGGATATTAAATATTTTAGACACAAAATTTTTAAATTTAACTTATTTGACTTATTATCAAATCAATGTCACAGGCCAAATGTGTCATCTTAAAAAAAGTTACTTAAAATATTCTTGACTATATTTAATGAATTGGTTTTAGGTTAACATGTTATTTCAGATGAAATTGTTTACATATTAATTTTCTAGCTTAAAAGTCTAAAATAGTTTACCTTCTATTCGACATTTACCTTGCACCTTCACATGGCTCATCTGTTGCATTCTTCAGTAAAATATTTATGAGGTAATGCTAAAAACACAAAATTAAGGAAAATAAAAGCTTTACATCAAAGGGTTTTTGTTTTGTTTTGTTTTTAATCATATACAATTGACTATTTTCCAGGCAACCACTAGCTACTAGAACACTGGGAATTTTAGAAAGAATGCATGAAGGACTCAAGGTGGAAAAAATGGCCTCAATATATAGATTTAAGCATGGCCTTACTAAATGGGAGAGTAACAAGGTATGTAGAGACATAAACATGTGAACAAATTTAGAATATAATAAAATTTAGATGAGAAATAGTGAATAAAAAAAAAGAAATATTGATTTCCCCACTAGATGAGTTGGAATTAATATATCTTTAAGACTTTATTACATTTATATAACAAAGTTTTTTTAGTATTTGTTTAAAGAGAAAGGTATTTTTATGAGTAAGTAAAAAGCTTCCTTTCCCTTCAGTGCCCAAAAAACAATTTGCTTCTTATATATTTAAATACATTTTCACTTTGAAATTTTCTTCAAAAATAAAAAGGTGAATATTTATCCTCAGTTGATTATTTTATTGATTTATTTGACTGCTGATGCCAGAGGATACAATTAGAGATGCTCAAGAAAAAGTACAACAGCCATGATCAAAAGGACTAAAAAAAAAAAAAAACTTAGGAAAAAATTCTTAAATTTAACTACCGATCACTGCTTAACACTGAACAAAAGGGCAGCCTTAAAAATGTTATGAAACATTTCAGTATTAAAACTATTATTTAGCTTATTTTAAAAATTCTCCCTTTTTTCCTGAATCCATTTGTAATAATATAAAACATAACACGACGAATCACACTAATCAAAGGACATATTTTAGCATATGGAAAAGAGTATTAATATTTTAATTTACTTTGATGTCTTCAGGTCCAGTGATGACTCCATCAATTTCAGGAACTGACTGAAGAAATGGAATTTTCGGGTAAATGTTGGGAAAGCAAACCAGGGAGCCCAGAATGGTGTGAGCTTCTGAACGTGGGGCCTGTAGAATAAAAATAAATAAACACGAAATAACTTACTACAACTCAGAAGCATCAGAAGCCTTCAAAAATTTAATAAAATAGATTTTGGTTTTTCATAGTTTTTTGGTTGGGCAGGTTTTCTGATCTGCAAACAATGACATGTTATAATCAATCAAATATTTATTAAGTGCCTACTATGTGCCAGACACTGTGTTGGTGATACAAAAAGAGGCAAAAGACTATCTATCTTTGCCCTCACAGAGTTTACAATCTAGTGGAGAGGCAAAAGAAGGAAAAAAATTATTCAAGTTATGTTTGACTAAAAAAAGGAGACACGTCAGTTTTAGCGGCATAGACAGAGCCTTGGAGTCACGAAGACCTAAGTTCATATCGCATTTCTGAAACCTATTAGCTGTGTGACCCTGGAAAAGTCACTTAACCTCTCAGTAACATAAGCCATATTTGACACTTTTCATCTAGGTGATTCTCTAAGATGATTAGGAGTAGAGAAGGTGCTAACTGAACTAATAAAGGGGATTTCTTCATTCAGGCGATTCCTATACCAATAAAATCTCAAATCAAGTCCCTACCCTTACTCTAAAGTATAACAGATGGAAAACCCATGTATTAAGAACAAACAATAAAAAGAGGAAACCTCCAGAATGGTCGGTTGGTTCATTTAGGGATTTGCATGGATAAGAATTACACAGTATGAAAAGAATTAAGTGGTTTGCAATCTGCATTGGTGGAATGGATTCCCTTTAATAATGAGAACATGCATCCACTGAAGTACTGACTACTGATCACTACACCTCATTAATTAACCTTGATAAATTGCTGTGCTTGAAAATATTTATCCTTTGGTAGTAAACATTCTTGTGAGGAGAAAATAAATAATCTAAACCAATCTTTATGCAACAGACATACCGACTATTACTGGGATCATACTCAAAAGCCCTTATCACTTGGTAGGATCTGGCACACTTGGCATTCAATTGTCATAGTCTTTGAGAATCCAGAGTTGCCTCTGTGTAATGAGGTATCACAGCAAGACTACACTGTTAATGGAAGAGTTTGATTACAGTACTGTATTTTTTTTTTTTAAAGAATTATATCTAAGGGCAGCTAGGTGGTGCAGATGATAGAGCACTGGCCCGGGAATCAGAAGGACTTGAGTTCAGATCTGACCTCAGACATATAACACTCACTAGCTGTGTGACTCTGAGCAAATCACTTAACCCCAACTGCCTCACCGAAAAAAAATTATATCTAGTTTGGTGTGTTCTGTATATACTCAAACAAAATTCTCAGAGGACAAAAAGATGAATTCTTGTAAACTAAAAAAAAATTATTAAATCTGGATGTAATCAAATAAATTTGTGATCAGAAATTCATAAAGCCATAAATTACAATTTATACTATTAAAAGAAAATATGTGAGGATGAACTGTTTACATGTAATAGAAGGATAGGAAATATCTTCTAAGAACCTTAATATTTTCAAGATTCATAGAAAAAGTTAGAAAGATGGATGATCCATGGATCATTTTATTCCATTTTTATGGTCTAAGAAGACAACAAAAATAAGATGAACATGGGAACTATATTGTGGGAGGTAGCAGGTTTTTTCTTCACTTTGGACAACATTTTATTTTACATTTCATATATTACTCAGTTTCACATTCTCATAGGATCAGTCACAATAAAAGTAACCTATTCTCCAAAGTCTGAATACAAGTGAGAAAGTTGTAGGTAATAGGTACATACTTCAGGACCAGGCAGCAAAATGATCTATGTTCACAAAATAAAGTGGAATTGCACAATTTGTTCCCTTCAAGAAAAAAAAAAGATATAATATGAATGTATAAAATAGAGCCTATATCAGATTGCATGACATCTTGGTGAGTAGGAGGGAGGAAAAGGAGGGGGAGAAAATTTAAAACTAAAAAACTTTTGGAAGTGAATGCTGAAAACTAGAAATAAATTATTATTTTAAAAAATAAATAAAATGTCTGACTGGGGTGGAGGGAGAGAAATTATTACTGTATAGCAAAAATGCATAAAATGAAGACCATGACTATTGTCCATGCTTGATGAGAACCAAAATGACTACATGGGGGTCAAGGTACAGTTTGTCCAACTGTGGATGATCTGACCAACACAAACTCAAAAGGCTCTACCATAAGTCAGCGACAAAAAGTACATATGAACATTTGGAATGGAGATGTCTCTAAATTTGCGCATCTCGCATTTCTTTTGAGCTAAATTCACTTCACCAAAAAAATTTCTAATAATGTATTTGATTTCTTTAATTCTTACAAGTTCTTGTTTATTTCTGATACAATTTGATTTTTAAAAACTACTGTCTAGCTATTTTATTCATTTTCCCCAAAAATAACTCCTCCTAATTTTATTTATTAATTTTTTTTAAGGCAATAGGGGTTAATTGACTTGCCCAGGGTCACACAGCTAGTAAGTGGGTCAAGTGTTTCGTCTGAGGCCACATTCGAACTCAGGTCCTCCTGACTTCAGGGCCAGTGCTCAATCCACTGCGCCACCTAGCTGCCCCTATTTATTAATTTAAGTTTCTAGTTTTAGATTTATTAATCATTTCTTTAATTTTCAGAATTTCTACTTTGCCATTTAGATGGTGGGATGAATAAAGGAAAGGAGGAGAAATTTAGGACCATGTCATTAATGAATATCAATTCAAAAATTTTAAACAGACTAAAGCAATTCACTGAAGGAATAATTCATTATAACCTAGTTAGATTTATAACAAGTATGCAAGAATGCTCCAAAGTTAGGAAAATAATTAACACAATTAACCAAATTAAAAACAAAAACATTTCAAACTACATGATTATCTCAGCAGATACAGAAAAAACCTTTCACAAAGTAAAAAACTCATTTATGTTAAAAATTCTACACGTATAAGCACAGAGGGGCCTTTTTTAATATAGTAAAAAGTATAAAATAAATGAAAAAGTATAAAATAAAACATATCTAAAGCCAAAAGCAAATATGAATGTAATGGAGATTGACTATGAGCTTTCCCAGCAAATATAGGAGTAAAGAAAGGATGTCTACTCTCCTTGCTATTACTTGATGTAACTCTGGAAATGTTAGCAATAGCAGGAAGATAAGAGAAAAAAAATTACAGGCACAAAGATGGGTAAAAGGATAAAACTATGTCCATTTGGTGATGGCGTAAGTTAGCTCAGAAAATCCTACGGAATCAGCAAAGATGCTAATTAAGCCAATTAGTATCTTCAACAAAGCTGAAGGTTAAAAAATAAACCCTTGAAATCAACAGCAAATATAAGTAATGAAACAAAATCCAAGAGTCAATGGAAGAAAGGAAAATGTCATTCCAAAAAACAAAATTTATAAAATATTTGGAATTAATCAATCACACAAAATATTTGTTTAGAATCAAAAGTGCTCCATAACAAATTTAAAAACAGGGGCAGAGCCAAGATGGCAGAGTAAAAGCAGTGACTTGCTTGAGCTCTCCCCCAAACCCCTCAAAATACCTGTAAAAAATGACTCTAAACAAATTCTAAAGCAGGAGAACCCACAAAAAGACAGAGTGAAACAAATTTCCAGTACAAGACAATCTGGATGGTTGATCAGAAGGGTATATCACGCCAGGCTGGGAGAGGGGTGCAGTTTGGCTTGGGCGCACAGGCTGCAGCAAACCTAGAGCAGGCCTTAGAGGACTGAATCGCGGGCAGCTGTGGTGGTTTCCAGACTTCTCAACCCATGAACGCCAAAGACAACTTAGAAGGTCAGTAAGAAAAGTCTGTTTCTGAGGTGGTGAGAGAGAAGTGGGTGGGGTCCTAGCCCCAGTACCAAGTGCAGTCCAGGGTGATGGCTGCTTGCAGAGCTTCTGGCCCACAGACTGAGGGAGAATCCAGTGGCTGATTAGAAGATAACTGCAGGGATCTCTCTGCTGGGGCAGGATTCTCTTGCTTTGCCCCTGCTTGGATCTGGGTCACAGTTCTGGGTGGCTGTCCTGGGGCTAGGAGGAGCACTGGCATGGTGGAGCTTGTAGCGGCTGTGGAGAGGAGATCCTCCTCACAGTTCCAAAACAGAAAAGAGTGTTTGTGGTCACTCATAGAGCACAGCACAGGCAAGGAAAGGAGTGAAAACCTCACCCTTGATCACAGCACCTTGGAAGAACTGAAAATTTACAGGTTGCTAGAAGTATCTCTGGAAACAGCTACACAAAATCCCCAAAGCTTTGGACAGTACATTCTCCACACTGGAAGCAGATTCCTACCTTAACAAAAAGATTATAACTCAAGTAATTGGATGGGATCATGAGCAAGCAGCATAAAAAGAGTCAGACTATAGAATCCTTTTTTGGTGTCAAAGAAGATCAAAACATACAACCAAAAGAAGACAACAAAGTCAAAGCTCCCACATCCAAAGCCTCCAAGAAAAATATGAATTGGTCCAAGGCCATGGAAGAGCTCAAACAGGATTTTGAGAAGCAAGTAAGAGAAGTAGAGGAAAAACTGAGAGTGATGCAAGAAAATCATGAAAAACAAGTCAATAGCTAGCTAAAGGAGACCCCAAAAAATACTGAAGAAAATAACACCTTAAAAAAAATAACCTAACCCAAATGGCAAAAGAGGTCCAAAAAGCCAAAGAGGAGAAGAATGCCTTACAAAACAAAATTGGCCAAATGGAAGAGGAAGTCCAAGAGCTTACTGAAGAAAACACTTCCTGAAAATTTAGAATGGAGTAATTGGAAGCTAGTGACTTTATGAGAAAACAAGATACTGTAAAACAAATTGAAAAGAAGGAAAAAATAGAAAATAATGTGAAATATCTCATTGGAAAAACAACTGACCTGGAAGATAGATCCAGGAGAGAGAATTTAAAAATTATTGGACTACCTGAAAGCCATGATCAAAAAAAGAGTCTAGACATCATCTTTCAAGAAATTATCAAGGAAAACTGCCCTGATATTTTAGAACCAGAGGGTAAAATAGAAATTGAAAGAATCCACC